TATGAATAGTATATTTTGGGCATACGTACTTCATGCACAAGAAGACCAAACCGTATCGCATCAAAGTATAAAAAACAGTCGTACAAAATCAAGTCAGATGTGGCTGTGAGTATCGGAGACTGTAACTAATAATTTGGAAATAAATTAAGAATAGTAAATCATGTAATAATAGTTAATAAGTCTAACGAAAGCTAATGATAAAAAGACTTTACATATTTTTTTCTCCATCTTTATTTAACTGTGCCGTAGACATGTACTTAGAGATAAAACTTTCATCATCTGAATTTTCAGCAATTGATCTACTAGGAGATTCACTTGTTCAGTTAGAATGAGCAGACCATATAGTCGTGTTTGTTGAATACGCTGAAAGAAAATGGAGAGTCTTCAGACAACTTTAAGCAACAGCACAGATGTATTTGGGATGCGGTTCTCTATCTGCTAATATAAAATGTTACTTAAGAACCAGCTGGTGTCACCGCCTGAAATAGTGATGAGAGTGAAGTAGTTAAACTCACCGACTGCCTCACTTATCTTGGGAGTCTCATCAGTACTAATGGTCTGGAGTCTGACAAAATGTTGGCACGTATTCAGAATGCTCGATCGGCTTTTGCCAACTCGCGTCACTTATAGCGTGGGCGAGATATCCTACATCCAAACAAAGGGTGAGATTACTGTACAGCAGTTCGCTCCGTTCTGCTTTATGAATGTGAAACATGATTTTTAAGAGTAGGGAGATATTATCAGTTTATTGGTGTTCACTCACATGTATTTGAAATACTGTTCGTGTTTTGAGGGACCAAAAAGTAAGCGATCCAGGGGTTAGGAATAAAGTACCAGGTAGAGATAGCAAATCAGTTGATAAGGAAGTGAATCGTCATCAACTGAGGTTGTTAGGACATATGTTAAGTGTATTCAACCACCGCCTACCTCGACAAGTGTTTTCTGGTGCAGGAGCAGGTTAAAAAGTATCTGGAGGTAGCCAAACTAAAACATGAAATCAGTCCATGAAGTCACTTAAAATGGGACTTAGCCATGTTAATACGTACAGACTACCAGGTTGGGGTCTTCATGATTAATGTAATCAATAATCAGAGACTTTGAATGACATGGCTCAAGATCATTTGGAATGGTGCAAATGCATTCGCTTTTTATCTTCCTTCAAATTTAAAGATTTTATATTCTTCGTATTTTTGTGTTTTGATTTCGCTAACTTATGTTTTCTTGAATCGTATCTTTGATACCTAATCTTCTTCATCACTACTGATACTTTTAGTATATCTATTATTCTGGAATTTGGCTTGATAACTTCATTTAATGAAGTATGGTAACTTGAACCGATATACATACGTACACGTTCTAAGTTGAAATTGATTGACTCTATTTCTTGTGCAAGAATTAATAATTCTCAACTGATGTATCACATTATTGTAACACATGTGAATAATTTGCTCCCAAAACAATTTCGAAACTTTGTCATATCAAACAATTTCAATTCATACTTCTTATATTTTTATGCGTACCATCGATTCATGTATCAATCTGATCATATCTGTAAATTGGTATACATTTTGTAATTACTTTCAAGATAGATTATTTACTATTATATGGACAATAAATCATTCTCAAAAAGTTCTAAGTAACTAGGATATCATATTAGGTTTAATGCATTTACGACTGTTTTGTTTTACTCAAGCTGATTCAGATAAACAATAAACAGTATATCATGTTAAGAGTAACTTGACAAAAACAGTTAGGTTAGAAATCCTTTAAACACCAGAAGCAATTCTGTTACGACTTAATTATCTGAGTGCGGTATTAAAAGAAATAAATTCACCCTTTTTCCTTACTTTTAATAATTAAACAGTCATATAGTTTTTTGGTTATAAAGTGTAGAAATTTTCTCATTCTTTAGATTGTAGCAATCTAGTTTCGTTTGATTTATTTTATTTCCTGTAAAAGTGGATAATTTACTTGGCATTCATTGCACATTCGTTTATACCCTAATTTATCTAATTCCACTTCATGTCTCGAAGAAACACCTGTTTAAGATCGGTTACTAACTGTTTAATTGAAACCTCTTACAATGGAAAGCATTTTATAAAATTCTATTGGATTAAGTTACATGAATGAGTAATAAAAAAATTAATAAAGGGCATTTTCGGGGAAATTTATTTCATATTTCCATGTATTGTAAATGTAATAATTGACAAGGTTCAGCTACCATCTAGTTATGTTCGACACAATTTTTCACTTTGAAGAAAAAATCACCAGTCAGTATGAATTTGTATCCCAAAAATTAATTTAGCTGAATACAATGTTGTCCAATTTGAGTCATTCAAACAAAATCGAACTCATTTTATACAGGTTCCTAAAAAAATCGATTGACAACTCAAACTGTATTCGGTTATCTTGCTGTAGGTAAAAACATTAGACAAACAGTGGTTAAATATCTTTCCGTTATTAAGTCCACTAGTATATATGTAACATGGGCAGAAAAAAATTCACTTGGTATTGTTTACTTGAATTTTCCAATTGGTGTTTAGGACCGCAAGTGATCACTCTCTTATTGGCATATGTGCATATTGTGCATATTGTCTCTATATTGCCTTAATTCACAAGCATTATAAGCAAAGGTGGATAGTGGCTAGCAGTGGAATCCAGGACGCGCGTTTCGTTCTATTTGGGACTTGTCAGCTGGATGTACCTGCATCTCAGAATTGATGTTCACTCTAGGACTCGAACTAATTAAGGTCCGCTTCAAACGCCATCGCATTATCCACTTAGCTTCTGAGTCCTGGATTCCACTGCTAGCCACTATCCATCTTTGCTTATGGACAGAAATGATTTACTTTAATTAAAAAATATGTCCATTTTATGAAAATTGAAGTTTGAATACTAGCTTACTTATAAGTAGCTTAAATCCCAAGAATAAAAAACGATCACTATAACAACATATTGAGAATTTTTGATTGAGATCATGAAACGATTGATGTTAGATCACCTTTGAAAACGCGGAAGCACTGGACGGCCGTTCCGTCCTATTGTGGAACTCCTCAGCAGTGTGCATCCACTATCCTCCTCGCGGGAATCGAACCCAGGGCGTTCAGTTTCACGCGCGAACGCTTAACCTACTAGACCACTGATCCGGCATCCAGTGGTGTTAATGTCTAACTTCAACCAATCCACGAAGTTGCGCGACAATCTTATAATCCGAAATGTATGTGAAAATCACAAATTGTTAGTTTGTATTATTAATGAATATCTTTGATAAGTTTATTTCCCGATGTTTTGGGTCAATTCGTTTATCAAAGAACATGTCCATTTCTTCACGCTCTTAATTATACATGGATTTAGTACTAAACTTGTCATCTATCAATTTGTGCTTCCTACATATTATAAGTAATTAAGTAGTCAGTTTAATTATCATTATTAATTAACGAACTGTTTTAATTGTGTTGATAACTTTCATGTTATTCTCTCATAAGTGTTATTCTAATTTAATAATTATCTAGTTCTTATTCAGTTATGAAACGTAGGTTGTTTGTATATATTGAACTGAAAAGGAATTAAAAACACGAAGTTCATACAAGGGATCTCTTTTCTATAAATTTATTATCAAGCTGTACAATCGTATAAATATGAAATTTTTTTTGTTAAAGTACTAGTTCCATGGACACGAATAACCAAGATGACGTAATAAAAAGACTATAATACTAGATTACGGAATAATAATAATAACTATAGCCTTAATACGTAATCTAGTATTACAATCTTTCTACTACGTCATCTTGGTTATTCGTGTTCAATTTTCCCCACAGAACTAGTACCTTAACGAAAATAATCCCACTGATTAAAATCATGAGTCAATTGAAGCTAGATCATCATGGAAAACCTGGAAGCATTGGACGGCCGTTTCGTCCTAGTATGGGACTCCTAAGCAGTGCGCATTAACTATCCCGCCCCTGCGAGATTCGAACCCAGGACCTATCAGTCGCGTACTAGGCGCTTAACCAACCAGGTGATTTATAAGCAAAGTAAAGGCTGGAGACAGACAACGCTGTCTACTCTCCCCCTTCCTCTTTTTTCTGGTGGTCGACTGAATTATAAAAACCACAACATCTGAGGGGAAGCACGGAATACAATGAACAGCTTCGATGAAACTTGATGATTTGGACTTCCCAGATGACCTAACTCTTCTATCCCATATACACGAACAAATGCAGATGAAGACAACTAGTATAGGTGAAGCCTGTGAATCAGTAGACCTCAACATGCACAAGGGAAGAAACAAGATCCTCAAATACAACACTGAGAGCAATAACCAAATCTCACTTGATGGAGAAGCTCTAGAAGATATGGAAACGTTCACGTATCTGGGTAGCATCACTGATGAACAAGGAGGACGTGGTGCAGATATGAAAGTAGAGATTGCTAAAGTAAAAGAGCAGTATTTCAACAATTGAGGAACATATGAAACTAAAAACAACAGCTTACAAGCTAGCATCAAAGTCAGAATCTTCTATACCAACGTCAAGACAGTTAGTCCTACTGCGTGGAGCTGAGACTTTGAGATCTACTACAACCATACTCGAAAATGTACGTGCATTTATAAACAATTTTCTATGTGAGATACTGAATGTCTGTCGACGGGATCGCATCAGCAAGAGCCTAGTTTAGGAGAGAAGAAACAAACGTCAGGCCTGGTAGGAAATTAGGAAAAGATAGTGGATGTGGATAGATCAAACATTGAAGAAATCATCAAACTGCATCACGAGGCATGCCCCAACTTTGAATCCTGAAGGGAAGCGGCAAAGGACGAAGACAAAAGAACATATTACTTCGAGAAATAGAAGCAGATATGAAAAGTATGAATAACAACTGGAAAGAGTTGGAAAGGACTACCCAGGACAGGGCTAGATGTAGAGTGCTGGTGGGCGGCCTATTCTCCTCCACGTGGAATAACCGGTGTAAATAAGTATGAAAAATTTAGAAGCTAACAGTTTAATTCTCTTCACTAATCACCTTTTTTTTCATAAAATTATATATATCTTCAGAAGTAATCGATGAGAACTGAATTTATATGGTCCATTTGTCGAGCTGATATTCTAGAAGATTACTGTATTGTTTACACTTATAATATTGACAAACAGTCAGATATAATTTTACATGGTGCAAATAGTTGTTGTGTAAATATCATATCTCATATGAAATCAATACAAATCGAACAAAAACAAAAGAACAAACAAATAAACATACTTGTATCATTCCATTCCTTTTTTTAAAATTTGTATAACAGAGTTAATAGTCATTGTTAAAACAGTGAAAAAAAGAAACATTTTATTAACTATTCACAAAATTCTAGAAAAAAGTAAACACTAGTGAAACTAATCAACATGGTTGATTTACATAGTGATTAAATTATTTAGGTAATCGGATGAATATTTATGTCCAAGTTATTATGAATAATGCATTCATTGAATTCCCAATAATACATGACAGTTTATGTAGAAAGAGATAAACGTAGGTACTATGGTTTGAAATAAAAAAGGATAAGAAAGAAAGAAAACAGTTATTATTCATAAAGCATCATTATAACAAAACATCAAAACTACTCTAAAATTAAATAACAATTTTTTGTTGTTGGAAAATCATGTTTATTGGTGTCTTGGTAATGTTTTTCTTTGGTTTATCATTTATTGATTCTTGGAAGTTAAAACAGTATAGATGAAGTGAAGGACTACAGGATTTTATAAGAAACTTAGCAACGTTGATGTTTCATGATATTTGGAAGAGAACCTTTTTGTCTATTATTTAGACTGACTTCAGGGAACAAAAGGTTCTTAGCAGAATATTGTTTGATTGACTTGATCATAATCCACTTGTTATAGTGTAATAAATAGACTGGATTAGATTACTGTGATATACAGCTCTTCTGTATTCAACAGACCGATAATCATTCGGTGAAGAACTATCTAAGTGCACTGTATAATAATAATACGACTATACTCATTTGTTTCTAAACGTAGATAAAAGAGTTATTTCGCTCCTTCGAACCTACATTCATTATGCTCTTTCCTAGTCAGTTAAAAGTTTACGATAAGTCAATACTTCCAAAATAATATAAAGAGTCCATGGTAAATTATTATTTTTTCTTCATGTTCTCGTATTTGTATGTAGTGACATTCTTTAAGATTAAAATAGATGAGTAAGAAGTTAATACTAAGATGGTGCTGATAAGAATAGACTGAAATTGGGTAAACGTGACTACATCACATACAACAGTTACTCAATTAATAATCGAGAATTTTTTCACTGAACATGTATGATATGCCACTATGATGATATACCAATAATGAATATGGTACATTCAAAAATTTTCCTATTACAAACGTATAATAACAATAGGAATCATTAACTGAAAAAATAGTCAGATTAACAATAGTAAGTCGAAAAACTGCAATCTCCGTCAAGAAGAAACATTTTACACTTTAAAATAATGAATTCTCGATGTAGAAAACTTACATCTTCGCGACTAAACTTTAGAATACCCTTATCGTTTTTCGGGTGGAACGATATGACATCAAAGGCAAGTTTAAGGTGTGCCATACAATGTAGGTAGCTTTCAAAGTTAATATGGTCTTGTTTGTGATCTAGATATCGATGTGTCAAAGTATGGAGAACTCTATTACTGACGCTATAACCTATTTGAAAAATTGCAAAATATATAAGGTATTATAATTAGTTATTTTTTCGAGATCAGCAATTTATAAGAAGTATTAATGCCAGAAGAATATAAAAGAACTAGTTTGGAAACATCATAAATTAAGTCTAATTCGTTCGAAGAATTCCTGGCTAGATTCATGACATAAGTAATTAGATTGTTGGAAATGATGACCATGCACCTTGATGGATAAAATATCTAATCATTATTTAGATAATAATGGTTCACCAAACGCAATCTATTGATTACTGCCTCTGGTTTCTTACTTATCGGATATTAATTAAAAGTCCATCTAAAATTAAATTCATCGATTGTATGGTTGAGTTAGTGGCTGTTCATTTGGAGTAGTAAATCTTCCATCTTCACTCTATGCATCATCACTGGAATTCAATGTAATTTTTAGTGGCCCGGGATCTGACTCCAAATAGATCGTATGAATGACTGTTATTGAATGATTGCTGTCTAAATGTATATGTCGCCTATCCTCGTATACAACCATCGATTTAAATCGCGTTAGTCAATAATGGAATTAAATAGGTCAAATACAAGAACGGATTTCGAATACGTATATTTCATGCGATCGTTGATCCAGACAAAATATCGGAGAAGCGAATGGAATAGAGCAAAACGAAACGACGCGCAGTGGAGGTGGCGGCTAAGCCAACTCCATTTAGCCAAGCGTTGATCAATATTTATGGTCACACAAAAATAAGTTACAGACATGTGATGCATAGGATAAGATGTGTACGCACACATACGCTCATATAAAAATAGCCAAGGTTGATAAGCGAATAATTAACAAGGGCGAAATACGACTCAACTAGAATGAATGCATTGGCCTGTCCGAAAGGCTTAACATGTTAACCAACACTACGAATTTATGTATATTGGTTACTACATCCAATCTAGTCTACTTCATAAATTACAACTCGGGTAATTTCTAAGTTTATTACCGTATAACAAAATAATATGTCTTATGTTTTTTTTTAACTGATGTCGGTCTGTTCAGATTTTTGAGTTATTAATTTCCTAAGTATCTGAACCGAAGGTATCAAGTAAAGATAAACGATTGGGGAAAACATTTATTGCACGGCCATTTTTGTATTTTTTTTTTCGAGTGCAATTTTTTTTCGTCCCTTTGAAAAAATTTTTCAGTCCCATCTTCCAATAATTTTCATTCTGTTTCGTCCAATCAAATAACTAGTTTTGAGTTCGTTATAATTGGTCGTTTATTTCTTCAAATCGATATAAAATATGAGGATTTAATGGCAGAGCACATTTTCTTACAATTATGGACGGTAGTAACATGCAGAGTACGAGCTCTGTCGTTCCTCACGTTGTCACAGAAACCGATAACCTGTTCGTTCTTGAGCACATTGTACGTCGTAACGTCTCAATCACTTGACGAGCTCCATAAGAACTTATGAAACAGCTGCGTACTGCCATTATGTGGTGAGGGATTCTCATTTACATAGAGATCGGAAGCCGTATATTAGATTCGTATGTTGGAGAAATGGTCGTAGAACATCTAGCGGTTCTTCACAGCCGAGTAGACGAACGAGGTAATTTAATTAGTGTTATTTTAATTTTTCATTAAGGACTACCGTGAACACTCAATGTCCTTCCTTCGTATTTTGTAAGTTACCAACTGTCAAAATAATGTCGATATGGATGCAACGTTGAGGAATGACGAGGAAGAAATTGTTTCGATTAACTCAGAGGAGTTCACTGAACGAGGCGACGACAATAACGAAGACGTGTATGACAACAAAGTTTATGATATTTGCAATCTTGCGCAACCGCCACATGAAACTGCTGATGGAAGTACCTGAGTTTTTGTCCATGCGAAGCAATGCTCGATTTATTTTGTGCCTACGACCCATCAACACACGTCCATGGAATCCACTGTCCCATGTACGGAGCTATAATGGAATAATAGCAACGCCTTTGTTCATGAAACTCGGAACTGTTAAGAGAACGAGTAAAGGCCCTTTTCAGGGCCACCCACAATTTGATTTAAATTCTTTTGTTTCGATTCCTTATTTCCATAGCAAAGGTCAAATGATCAAACCATCAAAATTCATTTAAGATTAATAGTCATTATGTGATTAGCACCTACGTATTCGTAAACGCTTTTTAAGCATTGTCAAATATACGGTTTAAGTAAACGATTTCGTATAGGAAATGTCATCTAATGAACACTAATCTGTCTAACAATAGTACATGCAAAATTTATTCAGAATGTTTCAATGTTTTGTCATTTAGTTACTATAGGCGAATGTAGTACTACCAGCTCACTAGTACAACGACATCATTTCTATAGGAAAGGTCAACTGAACCAACATCGATGAATTCTAACTAAGCCTTAGTGATTAAGCAATATAATCAATTGAGATTTATAAAAATTTCGTGGGTTAGATCATTAAAAGAGAATTTTGGAAAAAACTTATAACTGGTTTTAATAGTTGATGATAGTAATAACTGACTTTGAAAGGTGGTCAAATGTTTAATACACAATTAATAAAGAAATTGTTCATCGAAGTATTTCCATTAGTTTTTTCTTAACACATCGTATGTTATTTTAATAAACGTTATATGCGTAGCAACATATCCATAAATCATCATGATAAAGTAATGAATAGGGCATGCATAAATCACGCTAACCGTTAACGATCGGTAAATGAAGCAAAATAGTAATAACTTCTCTCAGAAAATAGCGAATAATATTTATGATTGGGTACTTTTCCAAACAGTAATTCTTAGTGGAAGAGAATTGTTTAGTTTTATCTGAGTAATGGTGTCATAAATAAGTGCAAGATTGTCAACTGAGTTATTTTGCTAATCCATTAAAAAGCGTTACTTGTTTTTAACTGTACATTCTTTGTAGTTGAGCAGTTTAAAATCACGACAAAAAGTACTTGTCTATGTAAGTAGTCATGTGAATAGTTAGTTGTGCTCGTCAATTAGGCTTGATATTTTTTGCACGTAATGTCAACAACAAATTTGCAGTTTAAAAATCTCCATAGGATATTCTATGTTGTTGAATAACAAGTTTTGACAAGTATTTGAAATATTGGTTACATTCAGTGTAAAAGTACAAGCCTACGTCTGACAAAATAAATGTCTATCTCAATTATACAGCTTAATACGAACAAAGTCAATTGTATCAAGTGACATTTGGGTATACGTACGTGTAATGTCAATGTAATAAATAAAAGCCTACCATTTATGTACCAAACGTCAAAATGACCAATCCACTCATGATCTCAACTATTCAAATGAAAAACGTGACTACCTTTCATGTGATGGTAATACATTTATACGTTTTATAAAATGTCTATATCATTTAATGTGGCAATTATCTGTAACAATGTTACATGCAAAATGTAATAAGAGTTTCGAATACTTGTCAAAACTTGTTATTCAACAACATAGAATATCCTATGGAGATTTTTAAACTGCAAATTTGTTGTTGACATTACGTGCAAAAAATATCAAGCCTAATTGACGAGCACAACTAACTATTCACATGACTACTTACATAGACAAGTACTTTTTGTCGTGATTTTAAACTGCTCAACTACAAAGAATGTACAGTTAAAAACAAGTAACGCTTTTTAATGGATTAGCAAAATAACTCAGTTGACAATCTTGCACTTATTTATGACACCATTACTCAGATAAAACTAAACAATTCTCTTCCACTAAGAATTACTGTTTGGAAAAGTACCCAATCATAAATATTATTTGCTATTTTCTGAGAGAAGTTATTACTATTTTGCTTCATTTACCGATCGTTAACGGTTAGCGTGATTTATGCATGCCCTATTCATTACTTTATCATGATGATTTATGGATATGTTGCTACGCATATAACGTTTATTAAAATAACATACGATGTGTTAAGAAAAAACTAATGGAAATACTTCGATGAACAATTTCTTTATTAATTGTGTATTAAACATTTGACCACCTTTCAAAGTCAGTTATTACTATCATCAACTATTAAAACCAGTTATAAGTTTTTTCCAAAATTCTCTTTTAATGATCTAACCCACGAAATTTTTATAAATCTCAATTGATTATATTGCTTAATCACTAAGGCTTAGTTAGAATTCATCGATGTTGGTTCAGTTGACCTTTCCTATAGAAATGATGTCGTTGTACTAGTGAGCTGGTAGTACTACATTCGCCTATAGTAACTAAATGACAAAACATTGAAACATTCTGAATAAATTTTGCATGTACTATTGTTAGACAGATTAGTGTTCATTAGATGACATTTCCTATAGGAAATCGTTTACTTAAACCGTATATTTGACAATGCTTAAAAAGCGTTTACGAATACGTAGGTGCTAATCACATAATGACTATTAATCTTAAATGAATTTTGATGGTTTGATCATTTGACCTTTGCTATGGAAATAAGAAATCGAAACAAAAGAATTTAAATCAAATTGTGGGTGGCCCTGAAAAGGGCCTTTACTCGTTCTCTTAACAGTTCCGAGTTTCATGAACAAAGGCGTTGCTATTATTCCATTATAGCTCCGTACATGGGACAGTGGATTCCATGGACGTGTGTTGATGGGTCGTAGGCACAAAATAAATCGAGCATTGCTTCGCATGGACAAAAACTCAGGTACTTCCATCAGCAGTTTCATGTGGCGGTTGCGCAAGATTGCAAATATCATAAACTTTGTTGTCATACACGTCTTCGTTATTGTCGTCGCCTCGTTCAGTGAACTCCTCTGAGTTAATCGAAACAATTTCTTCCTCGTCATTCCTCAACGTTGCATCCATATCGACATTATTTTGACAGTTGGTAACTTACAAAATACGAAGGAAGGACATTGAGTGTTCACGGTAGTCCTTAATGAAAAATTAAAATAACACTAATTAAATTACCTCGTTCGTCTACTCGGCTGTGAAGAACCGCTAGATGTTCTACGACCATTTCTCCAACATACGAATCTAATATACGGCTTCCGATCTCTATGTAAATGAGAATCCCTCACCACATAATGGCAGTACGCAGCTGTTTCATAAGTTCTTATGGAGCTCGTCAAGTGATTGAGACGTTACGACGTACAATGTGCTCAAGAACGAACAGGTTATCGGTTTCTGTGACAACGTGAGGAACGACAGAGCTCGTACTCTGCATGTTACTACCGTCCATAATTGTAAGAAAATGTGCTCTGCCATTAAATCCTCATATTTTATATCGATTTGAAGAAATAAACGACCAATTATAACGAACTCAAAACTAGTTATTTGATTGGACGAAACAGAATGAAAATTATTGGAAGATGGGACTGAAAAATTTTTTCAAAGGGACGAAAAAAAATTGCACTCGAAAAAAAAAATACAAAAATGGCCGTGCAATAAATGTTTTCCAACGATTGGCTTAAAACAAAGCTAGTTGATATTGTTAACCAGTTTTACACTACACCATTCCCTTCATTCCCAAGCTATGACGAAAGCCCATTATGATACCATACAAAAATGTATGGGACGACAATTATCTAGCAATGATCAAACCAGGTAAAATTTCTGAGGTTGTATTACTGAATAAATCTAATTATATACAGAAGACGATAATGATTCTAGAAGCTTCACATAACTTGATGCGCGTCAACACAAACAATGGTAAGTAATTACACATCGCATGTCATATCCAAATTTTCATATTAATTTACATATACGTATAAAAAGAATAAAACGACAGTCTTCTAATCGTCTCACTCAGTACATTCCCTTGAACATACACCACAAGGTAAAAAAAAACTCGTAGTTTGATAGCACATCACCTGATAAATAATGGTCTTAGCAAAAAATGAAATGAGCGTCTTCGAAGTGATCTATAAACAATCCAACTGTACCTCATTAAAGTTTGCGGGAACCATATCATTTAGACAGCTTCGACTTGAACTTTGCATTAACAAAAGAGTTGGTGATTAACCTTCAACAGGTTTGATAACAAAGTGAACTAAGCATTTAAACTCAGTTTGTTTCCCCGATTAATTGTAGTCAGAATCACGTGAATGTAACCCATATGTATCTCGCTTCCTCGGATTTTATTTTATTGAGTCATAAAATCATCTTAAATATTCCAATCAGTGATCTCGATTGACCACATCAATCACAGATTCATATTTCACAAGCATGTTACGATCTATAGCTAAGTTATCTAACACAAAACTCTATTTTAGGCATTCTAATAAATGATATATTTTTGAAGTAGAACGAAGTAAATCAAGTTTCAAGTACGTAAAGCCGGAAACGAATTCTTGTTATTTCTAGGCTACAAATTATATAATAATGAATATTATGAAGGTCTTTTGATATATTTTTGGTTAGTTTTGTTTGCAAAATGTAGGTTTGTAAGAATTCATTGCAATATATAAAAATTATCTGTTTAGAAATTAAAATTATGGTAGTTTTATGTGTGAGTTTTCTTTTGAAGCCTCAAAATTGTTACGTTTTTGATGAAACCACAAAAATAATGATTAAATGCATTAATCTCCATTTAGCAATGATATATGAGATAACAGGATGGTTGGAGGTAGTCAACAAGAAACCCTGGACCCGGGTTTCGTGCTATTTGGCACTCGTCAGCAAGTTATACCTGTACTCTTGAGGGAACTGATGCTCCCCGACGGATCCGGTTCTGAGTCCAGTGTTTCCTGTTAACTACTTCCAACCACCAACTTATCTCAACATTGTACACTCAATGTTGAGTCACTTAGACTACTGACCACATTGCAACTTGGTTGGTAGCATTCGATCTGCACCAAGAAGGACCTGACATACATGACATTAATCACCACCTAGTGATCAATCAATTGTGAATAATGATATTTATATACCGGCAAATCAAAATTGGCAAACTAGTAATACAATAATAAGTACATGTATTTTTTCTTAATATTCCTACCTGCACTTTTCAATAAATCACGAAATTTGAATGAACTCACACATCCCCTCCGATCATCATGTTCGTTAAAAGCGTACTGTATATTGAGATTTTCAATAAAGTCATAAAGTTAGTAATGACAAACTAAGAAATATTGTTCAATGAATTAAAATATTAAACATGAACAATAGATAGCTATCATATAAGTTGGTCAGTTGAAAATTTTTTATAGTTAGATTATTGTGATGCGAAATTCAAGTTCCCATGTTCCATTGATTAACCGTTAAGTTCGTTGATGTAGTACTCAGATAAACTTAATTTAGTAGGGTCTGTATTGTCTAGAATAATTTACTCAATAAAGAACTAGGCTGTAATGTATGGTACGAATCATAGTTAACAAAATTACAGTGTTCAGTTTGAATAACTAATAACTATTTCGATTATTTATAATGGCACTCCTCTTTGTAATTTATCATGTTGTGATTAGAGAATCCTCAATACGAATGTCAAGACAGTTCTATGAACGGAGATGAAACTTCAAAAACTACCACAACAATAACCAAAATAGTACAAGAATTTATAAATAGTTGTCTACGCAAGATACTCAATGTCCGTTGACTGGGTACCATCAGCAACAACCTACTGTGGGAGAGAACAAACAAAAATCAACCTGAAAAGAAAATTAGGAAAAGACACTAGAAGTGGATAGGACACACATTGAAGAAAAAATCAAACTAGATCACGAAGCAAGCACTAATGTGGAATCCTAAAGCGAAAGGGAAACGAGGAAGACCAAGGAGCGCATTGCTTTGGGAATTGGAAGCAGACATGGAAAGAACGAACAGGAACTGGAAAGGATTGTCCAGGACAAAGTTGGATAGAGAATGCTAGTGAGCGGCCTACGCTCTTTCACGACTGGTAACAGGTGTAAGTAAGTAGTTAGAGATGGATTAACGTGTTATAAACTAGCCAAATACTCTGATCAAGAATAGGAATACCTAAATGCTAGCCATATCAATTAGAAGTGTCTACTAGTAATTGTATTTCCTTAACAGATTTCTACGGTAGGTTTTAATTCGATAAAATCAGCTCAGCTGTAAATATTAGTTATTGATTATTCGGTAGAATAATAATGAAAACTCTTTCCTGTTATTTCATACAATTTTTCATATTGATCAATTGAAAGATAATAAGAAGAATAAACGAGGCAGAATAAGATGGATTCATTTGTTTTAAAAATTCTAATTAGCTACTTGAGACTTATATATGTATTACTATAATTCATTTGAAAAGAAAGATGTACATAAATCACATCATAATATCAGAGAAATTCTCATCGATCAGATTTAGCACAAAAGCCAATAAAAATGCAAGAAACCTAAGAAATGCACTGTGGTTAAATATTGATAAACTTTTTGTGAATATTCTAGAAGAAAACTCTTTAAGGAGTATGGAGACTAGTCTTATAAATAAAAACTGATGTTAAGGACTATGTAACACAAACTATTAAAAGGACTGATATTAAGATTAGGATGAGTGAAAGTCAGATAAAACGTAGGAAAGAAATGAAGTTAATGGATTTATAATTGCAAACACAAAATAAGCTATTAGATAACTGAATGATCGATGCCCAGGTCACTAGAGCTGTGGAGGACTGATAATAGTGTTCAAGTGATTCATACTTATGTATTCGTGAAATTAATAAATTCATTGTATTCTGCTTTATTCATCCTTCATGCCCCTTTCTGTTGCCCAGATTTATTTGATTACGATGATCACAATTATATTGAGAGTAGAAATTAACATCAATCACGAGAAAAGTCATAAAGACTTTTGCTAAACTATCAGATTATACCAGTTAGTTTTACTTGCTAGAGGGAAGTCGATTACATTGAGTTGTCATTTATTTCTGTTTACTCAAAAAATTGTCATAGTGGAACTGTTGAGTCGGCTTTCCAAGAACTGCAACGGAGCCTCCAGAGGCCCTAAAGGAGCCTAAGAGTCCAAGCCAATCAGAGCATGATGGGGCTTTCCAGAATATCAACGTGGCGTGCTACTATTGGTCAGTAGCATAATATGTCTTTTAGCAGATTGGCCCAAATATGATGTTGATTTAACAAATGTGAACATCTATAAATCCCAAAAATTATTCGATTAAGTCTAATACTATTCTTGGACTTGAGATGGTATCGTTTTCCTACTGGTCAATACTTATTTCACTTGTCAAATGTTATTTTCTATTTTATGGTACGATGTGGTCTGCTTGATTGGTATATAAACAAAGTATGTTTGAAATATAACGATTCATATCTCAGAGGCTGAGAATTGCGTTCTGGACTCAACTGGCTGGGCTAGACAGGGAAGCAGGACCAATCAGGACTCTAGGTCGTTCTTAGGTATTTACGTGTCTTTGGTCCGATCGATAATTCGCTGCGCTCTGATCTGCAGTCCACAAGATATAACAAAGACTTATCAGGAACGAATATTATGACCGTTTATCTCGGTTTATCATAAGTCCTCACAAAAGTTATTCTGCATATAGTTTTATTCAATAAATTCTGACTATATGGATGTCACTTGCATAAGATTCAGTTTACTGATAAAATTGCACAGGATAACATTGTTGAATAATTTCTATGATGCTCTAGCTTCAAGTACCTCATGCATTTAACTATTAAATTACTAAAATCTCCACAAAACCCTCCTCTTTGATTATATATAATCCTTTTTGCTAGTCTAGATACTCAATCATAGAAAGATAATGTTTCACTGATTAACTTAAATAATTTTATAATATCCTATAATTAATGATATAAACTAGAATTAATTATGATTATAATGAATTGAAAACCCACCATCCATCCCATAAGATCAGTCATGAGATATAGGAACTCTTCTAAGTCAATTTGACCTGTCAAGTTTGTCTGACAGTCATAGTATTTGTTAAGAATAAATAACAACTTTTTAAATATAATACAATGAGAAAATAAAATTTATTAGAACTCTGATATATAAGTGTTATGACCATAATAATAAGGCAAAATAACATTCTTTTACTCATTGGGATTTTTATTCAACAGTACTTTTGCTTTAATTCAGTGTGATGATTACGCAATGTAGTAATTGTTTTGTTTTACTGCCCAGTACTGCATTCGTTATAACATACGATATTCTTGTATTAAACTAACATGATACACCGCATATGATTTGTTATAACATTAAGTATTTTTCATATATGTGATTTCATCCTAATTATTAACCAAAATGGGTGTACAAATCAATAATATAATTGAGTGTATTTTCGTGTTTTGAGTTTAATAAATCTTCACTTGTACATGTCTTGGTGTTCTTACTTTTCGCATCATGAGAATTGTACTGGTTCCTCATTTTCAAGTGTAAGTGATTAGCGATTCCGAAATAACAACTAGCGATGACCAGATATAATGGTTGGCAACGCGGTCATAACATTTCGATAGAACAGTCGATCATCAAATATAACAAGTAGTAAAATACAATCTGGTTACAAACGAACTAATTAAGATATTTATTTAAAAATAGGCAATTTGCATACATATTTATAAGAAAGCCCAATGATGTTCTAAGGGATTATGTCTTGGATAATTTTTCATTAACTATTTTTTTAGATCCAGTTATTACTAAGCGCTGAAAAAGCCCAATTCAAATCTACAGGTGATAACCATGACAGCTCGATCATTGTTTTGATGAATAGTATATTAGGACGATTGCTGACTAACATCTCGCATATCATACGTCGAAAATGTACCAGATGACTACAACAAAGATGTATGTTTTCATGATTGAAATCCGAATGAAATCATATTCATAATTAACAAGCCTGAACGCGAAAGTAATGTGTTGAAAAAAGTATAATTCTCTTCAAATTCACATTATTCTTTCATATTAAGAAAAGTTCACAACGTCAAGATGTTTAACAGATGAATGTATGATTTAATCTAGAATTTTATCTTCAGAAAGCCTACACGGGAAAAGCAATATCCTAATTACCCTAATTAATTTTCAGTCTATTACAAACCCACAGTCATCCATTGCCAAATACACAGCTGAAAAGAGTTATATGATTAATCATAAGTTGATCATTCAGGTTTAATCTGAAGGCTATCAGACAAATCAAGAGTGGGAAGGCAAAATGACCAGACAACATACCGGCTGAAGCAGTGAAGTCAAAAATAAAAGTAACTGCAACAATGTTCTACATTCCATCCAGAAAACGTTGCTAGGAAGAACAGGTGCAAACAGACAGGAAAGACGGATATCTCATCAAGATACCAAAGAAAGGAGATTACTAAGAGATATAGAAAAGAACCATGCTATTATCTAAACTAGGAAAAGTTCACAAAATAGTGTTGTTGAACCAAATGCAAGATTCAGTAGACGCTCAACTTTGAGATAAACAGGCTGGATTCCGTAAGGATCTGTCGTGCATAAACCGAATCGCCACACTACGGAACATCGTTGATCAATCAATCAACCATACATCAACTTCTTTGATTTTGAGAAAGCGCTTAAAAGTATGAATAGGAGAACCTTATGGAGACTTCTTCGACACTATGGAGTGAGTGAATGAAAATGTTGTCAACATCATCCGAAATTCATAAGTTGAACTGTACTACAAAATCGTGTATGGAGGACAGCTGATAGATGCATTTCAAGTAAGGACCGGAGTCAGAAAAGGCTGTCTACTCTGCCCCTTCTTCTTTCTTCTGGTGGTCGACTGGATTATGAAGACCTCGATATCTGAGGGAAAGCAGGGCACACAATGAACAGCTCAGAAACAATTAAACGATTTGGACTTCACAGAGTACCTAGCCCTCCTATCCCAGACACACAAACATTTGCAGATGAAGACAACTAGTGTAACTTTAGCCTCTGAATCAGTGGACCACAACATACACAAAGGAAAAAGCAAGATCCCCAAGCACAACACGAAGAACAACAACCAGATCTCACTTGACGGAGAAGCTCTGGAAGATGTGAAGACGTTCACGCACTTGGATAGCATCGTCGATGACCGTGGGGGATCAGGTGCAGACGTAAAGGAGTGGATTGGTAAAGCAAGAGCCACATTCCTACAATTGAAGAACATATGGAACTCAAGACAACTGGTAACTAATGTCAAAGTGAATATGTTAAATACGAACTTCTAAACATTTATGTTGTGCGGAGCTGAAACTTCGAGAACTACCACAACCGTCATCAAAATAGTACAAGTAATTATGAACAATTTTCTAAGCAAGATACTCAACGTTCCTTGGTTGATCAGACCTTATCCGCTGAAACCGATTAGCTTTTATGAAAATAGTTACCGTTTCTGAAGTCTTACAAACTGTTAGGTAGTCGGAAAAATAGACCAATAATTATCATGTTAAGTCCAATGGTGTCCTTGGACCTTAAATGTACATTTCCCATTGGTCGATATTTATTTAACGTGTTATTTTCCTGTTGGCCAATATTGTACAATGTTATTTTCTACTTTGTGGTACGATGTGGTTTGTTTGCTTGGTATATAAATAGAGTATGTTTGAAATATAATGATTCATATATCCGAGGCTGTGACTTTCGTTCTGGACTCAACTGGCTGGGTTAGACAGGGAAGCGAGACCAATCAGAACCCTAGGTCGTTCTACGTGTTTGTGCGTCTTTGGTCCGATCAATAATCCGCTATCCCTTAATCAGCATATATTTTTCACGTTATAACAATTGGCGACGGGGTGAAGAAAAGATACAATCCAAAGTCATTCTGTAATTGGACGAAATCCAGTCTAATTATTCAACTAATCAGCATCCAGATTGTCATCAGTGTCCTTGAACCACATTGGTCATTAGTCATACAGTAATTTTCGTCCCAGGCGCTGATAAAAAAATGACTCTCCCTTCCGATCGATTACAGCTGCTCTATGAACGACATTTGGAGTTATTAGTCAAGTTCCGCACGCAGCTGCTAAGTCAGTCATGCTATGAAGATGCGACGGAAGTGGATGGATTGATATCTGAGTTACACAGTGAGCTGGAAAATGACAGCAGCCTCCATGAATCCTCGATTAACTGTACTTCAAATGGAACGGCAGTCATCTATGATGCGCCCAGTGGTCCAGAACTTTCCATTTCAGTAACATGCCCGGTAATGGACTCAAACTCCATTATCCCCAAAACAGCATGTGCAGACGGTGACTTATCCAGCTCACAAACACACTCCCCGGTTAATGGTCATAGAATTGTCGCAATAACCACCCATGAAACAGAAAACAAATCGAGAAGCACACTGAATACAACTGCTTCAAATGGTTCTCATCAGTCTGCGACAGATGTTTTTGACAAATCTTATTATGAAGATTCTCTTTTACCAGAAAATGTGCTCCACGCATCAAATAATAACCAAGAACCTGGTACAGTTTTGTTGGACGCCGATTATCATAATGATCCACTACTTACTAAAGATTTAAACCCTGATGACTTCGAATTGGATGGCGTTTATCCTCAATATCTGATCAATTTTACTGCATTCCCTGTGCAATATGTTTTAAAGACAATCAAATTAATTGAAGACCCAACATTATTTCGAGGGGGAGGATAGACGCGAAAAAAATCCAGATATTAACTCCGGATCTTCTTTTTTTTTAAAAAAAAGGGGAGGTGTTAGGTAGTCGGAAAAATAGACCAATAATTATCATGTTAAGTCCAATGGTGTCCTTGGACCTTAAATGTACATTTCCCATTGGTCGATATTTATTTAACGTGTTATTTTCCTGTTGGCCAATATTGTACAATGTTATTTTCTACTTTGTGGTACGATGTGGTTTGTTTGCTTGGTATATAAATAGAGTATGTTTGAAATATAATGATTCATATATCCGAGGCTGTGACTTTCGTTCTGGACTCAACTGGCTGGGTTAGACAGGGAAGCGAGACCAATCAGAACCCTAGGTCGTTCTACGTGTTTGTGCGTCTTTGGTCCGATCAATAATCCGCTATCCCTTAAGCAGCATTTATTTTCACGTTATAACACAAACCCACCACAATAACACATATTACGTAGATCTGTGTCGTCTAATTGCGTCATATAAATTAGTCAAAAGAAATAACTGTTTTAAACAAGATTTTATTTTTTCTTCCCACATCGAAATATAAGTATCTACACAAACCCATAAGGAGAAATCGGACATTTTTAACACTGATTAAGTATAGACCTAATCAAATCCATTCTTTATTGTTACCAATACAAACAGTCACACTTTTTCACTACATTTTCAGATAACCAATTCCAGAAATCAATAATTCTGTTGTGTAATTCCTAAATTTACTTACTGTTAAGCAAATCAAATCATGATTACTGTTATGATATTTTTTTTAATAAAGGATACAGATGCTGAAGATATTAAACTACTACACAAGTCACTAGGAAATTCCGTAAAACCAATCATATAATCTGAAATAGAAAAATATAGAAAGAAAATTACCAACTACTATATGGTGTAGTGAAATTCAAAGTTTATCATTTTTGAATTGTATTAAGAATCTCTGGAATTCCGTCGTTAGTAACTAATCATATTTTTAATAGAATTCAATAATCTTTATTAAATTATGAGTTACCGTTTAGTTAAAACTCTCAAACATTTAAAAGATCCTCTAATAATGAAACTGACGAATGGAATGCATTATATCTTTGATTTAAGATCATGTTTAAAATATTCAATTATAAGCAGTATGGTATGATTATATAGTACTACAAATAAATAAACTAGCATGAGTTAATCATTCTATTTTCACGAAGCATGGATAAGTATGAGTTAAAAATAGGAGGTTGAATCCACTCACCTCGAAAATTATATTGATCCAAAATAGTACCTAATATTCTAGAATTGATTGTTTCGGTGATTGGATTACATAACTGCTTAAAATTTAATTCCAATGAAGTAAGTTCCTTCTACAAGAAAAGGAATGAGTAAAAATTCTGTTGTTTGACTTGACAAAATGATCATTTCGATCATGTTTTAAAAACTTCTTTCAATGAAGTCACAATATTAAAATAAGAATGGTAGTAGAACACTAAATTATTCGTTTCTATGATCATTTAGTCTTATAAAGCATCTATTCAATTTAAATAACACTAAAATTTTGATAATTATAATTAATTAAATGATGTAGACTTTTTAGGGTATCACTTTTAATTAAAGCATTCATAATGAAACAATATTCAGTGTAGTCACTAATCAACAGATTTGCAAATCTGAGCCTATCATAAAGTAGGTATTTGTTTTTGTAACCAAGAGCTATAACAAACCGAGAACCAGCGATATAATTTCATGAGTACTTATTACAGTATGTTACTAAGATAAACTTAAAATTTCTCAGGCAGAAAGATATATGAATAAAGTTCCACATACGCTGTCGTATGACGAGGCAGTTTCTTTCGACAAAATATTCAGTACTACAACTCGAGATATTAAATCAATAAACACGATGACCATGTGTTGCTGGGTCGATTCCTGTTAATATTGAAAGTTAGGAAATGGGAAAATTGTATCATCCAGTAATAACTATGGCTAACACAAATTTTTTATTAGTAAATAAACAAACTTATCGATTGATAGACTTAAAATTCCAATTAAAATGAATCAAATCAATAGAAACATTGTTAAACTTACTAACATGATATTTTGAAGAACTTCCAGTGTTGACTGAAATTTTTAATGAACAACAATAATTGATAATGGATAGTATTTCGTTACATTTACAATGAAATATAATTATTATCACAACTTTGTGTAAATAACATCATAGTTATAATATGTTTCATCACGAATTAATATCATCTGATTTTGATGGAGTTTTGTTCTCTGAGCTGGATGATATTGTTCAGAAGAATGATGAAAGCTCCAAGACCAAATCATCCAGCTCAGAGAACAAAACTCCATCAAAATCCTCCATCTGAGCTACAAATATTCTCTACCATATCAATATCATCTGAGGAACTAATGAAAACCAGGCGATAAAGTAGGTTAAACTAATGTTATTAAGAAAACATTTCAATTAACATTATTCAGTCGAATAGTTTAGATAGCTTTAATTTAAAGGACTTGTAATTTTACTAAGTGGTAGGAGTTATTCAGTGAATAAATTACATTTCAATTCTTTACACAAGATTGGAAATGGTATATGATTTTTTGATGAGTTTTATGTAGTTTACCTAGCTGTATACACGTACGTCTTTAGTTTGAATTAAGCTATCAGTAATGGTATGTTCCTTAAAATTGTAATGACTGCTTGATAATTTTAATCATGGAGGTACTCTAAGAGTTCACATAACTTAGCTGAGTTATTTTTACGAAGAGTAGGTGTATATGAGCCGTCAAGCAGTATACAGTACAGATGTGAATAGTGATTTGAAGTGAAATAAGGGATCTGCCTTTTATCCTATTTAGTACTCATCAGCTAGATTTATTAAACATCCTAGTTTTGATATGCACACTGAGGCTCTAATTGGGTACTCATTACTTTCAACTATAATCAGTCCTAGCATATTGAGAGGTGCAATTTTAGAATCTTGGAAAAGTGTTTTTAATCACGGGATTAGATTGCCTTTCGTACAACCTATTGGTTTGTAACAAATTGCATTGTCTAGTTATGTTATTCAACTTAGACACCATATTTCAAGTCATAGTAGCAAAGTTCAGTTCGATATTTAAAACTAAATGCCATGTCATTATTAAAACTGTAGACTGTCATTACCACACGATAACATGTAAACATACCTTTGGAAAGCCTTCGTATAGATTCTCTTCATCCAGTTCTCTAAGATAAAACGGAAAATAAGCATATTTCTTAAAATGTTTCACCAATAAAGAGTAACAGCTAATTAATCAATAAAAATAGTGTTACCTCAAGACATGCATAAACTATAATTAGTCATATGTTTTCAGTAGACATTAAGAGGTTAACTCAAGATTCGGAACTTCTGTGTTTGACCGATGGTCGGATTATGGGTACCAATTGTCAGGAGTTATGGTTGAAAATATGTTTTATTACTCTGTAGTGTCAGTTACTATGTTGAGCCCATATTAGCTTATTCTAGCTCCTGGAATGACCAATCTATTCATTCTTCCCAAGCCAAATTTTAACCCTGTCACTTATTTACTTGTCATTCCTGACTGTTTTTAAATGATCGCATGTGTGTTAGTTACTTACCCTGTTCATCATTTGTCTGTAAATTATTTTTGTTCGGCTATAAATGTCGATTTACGCTTGGTTAAATCAAGTTGACTCACTCGCTTCCCCATTGCGCTTCATTTTGTCTTGCTCTGCTTTCCGATCAAAGATTATATACGTATTCAAAATTCATTCTCGTATTTGATGTATATAATTCCGTTATTCACCAACGCGATTTAAGTCGGTGATTATATACAATAGTTAGCGATATGTATAACAATCATTCATACTATCTACCTGGAGTCAGACCCCGTTCCACTAAAACTCACTTGTTCCCAGTGGTAGTTAAACTGAGGTTATTCTGTCATAAATATCACAAGACTAAAGTAGCATTATAAAACCCTTTAATATAACTTTATTTAATGGTTATACAAGCGTAATAATGTATTCACGATTTGATGCTTACTCTGGATAGTGAATAAAAAAAGCACATTACTGGTCAAACATAACTAATCACTCAATGGTTATAAAATAAGGGTTTGATTGATCTTCTTCTTGACTAAATTTTGGTTGTTCTCTATTTCCATGAATGGTTCCTGTGTAGATTGCCTTGATGCAATCACTTTTACAAGTTCTTTAGAATATATGGATTGTAACTTTAACTGAAATATGAAAACTTGGATGCACTGTATTTAGCTGATAAGACTCAAATAAAGAAAACAAGGTACCCTAAGTTCTACTGATAGCCGAAGTCTATCTGTTTTAAACATTTATTAGAGGTGAAGCGTTTGCGCGCAAGACCGATAGGTCCAGGGTTTGAAACTCGCGAGACAGGATCGTGGATGTACAATGCTGAGGAGTCCGAAAATAGGACTAAAAGGCCGTTCAGTACTTCCAGGTTTTCCATGGTGATCTAGTTTCAATTGACGGATGATCTCAACTATTGAAATTATCAATTATTGGATTCCTTTAACATGTATAGACAAAGTAAGACTGACAATATTTGCTGAATTCAATAAATTCATTATAATTCGTTGTGTTCTTTTTAGCTAATAAACAAGTATATTCCATTTGAATTTCTAACATAATTTAGCACTCAATAAATTAATTGTTCAACAATTACGAATAGATTGTTTGGAATTTATAATAAGTTAAGAACCCAATTTCTTAAAAAAGATTTTTGCTTATTGTTTAAGGTGGTCATTCTAGAATATAATTAATACTATGACTCAGTTCAATAAAGATTTAGGAAGTTTACAAAGAAAGAAAAGTCAGACGTTTGGGTTGAACTCAATAGATCATGATTATAATTAATCAAAGTAAGAAAGAGGATCAAAATGTTTAATTTGTTTCTGTTACCAAGGGAGTTGATGATTAACTACTTACTATATTTAAAATGCGAAAGTCAGGTCTTAGCTGTTTAAATGAAATGTCTTACGCGAATTGGACTGTTTATTGTACATTTTGAATGTATTGAGTCAATGTTATGCCTTAATTTTACCAGATGATGTGTAATCAAACTTTGAAGACCATTTTGTCTTCCAAGGTGCAAGTTTCTGGGACTATACTAAAAATTGATTGGAAGCTTTCCTTACTGCCTTTTCGGTGCAATTTTTTTATTTGTACATATAATTCGATTGCAGGTGACATGTGACGAATACTTACCTTTCACTCCAAGTTTACAATGAATACATTCTCAAAGACTAGCCTTAAAGGGTCATACCATTTGCTTAATAATAAAATTCATTGTTAAGTTGAAATTGAAAGTTTTAGTCTATCATCTTAGTAACAGTATGAGTTGTAGTCGGAGTATCCGTTGTGAGTATCGACCATTAATGTCAATACTTTCTTCCAAAGGGATATTGATAAACTGAAAAAATGACATAGGAAATTCAAAGTTTATATTATGTATTTACTCAATCTATCAAACTGAAAAGCGTTCTTCACATAGTACATAGCGGTTTCTTTACAAGTTGACTAATTATGTTAGCTAACTATCGTACCTGTTAATTTCAGTAGGGTTTAATCACGGATATATGATAAATCTCATTTTCATTGACCTGTTCATACATGAATATTAGGTATAAGCAAAGTGTTTTGAGCTCGTTCAATTTCACCTCTTGCTAAACTCGAGGCATAACATTGACTCAATACATTCAAAATGTACAATGAACAGTCCAATTCGCGTAAGACATTTCATTTAAACAGCTAAGACCTGACTTTCGCATTTTAAATATAGTAAGTAGTTAATCATCAACTACCTTGGTAACAGAAACAAATTAAACATTTTGATTCTCTTTTTTCCTTTGATTAATTATAATCAATATAATCAATATAATATTAATATTTTGTTCAGTACACTTTATCGTTTACTTCTTATAAAAGCAAAACATGCTTAGTACATATCCTATCACAAACTGATCACTTGTTATTTTTAGAAAATAGTAGTCAATTTATGAGCGTTAATCTTATTGTGGGCGGTGTCCGAAATCGGTCACTGATACATGTTGTGCTACGTGATAATCGCCCACCCGACTATTTGATCGAGAAAACAAAAGCAGATGAGGTAGAGTATTTGTATACCAAATATAATGCACGAATATTCGTATATATATACCGCTTAGGAAGTCAATCTATTCCTTTGTAGTGTCAGTCATTATTTTAAGCCCATATACCTTATTCTAGTTTTTGGACAAACCAATCTATTCATTCTACTTGAGTCATATGTTGACCTTGTCAATTATTCGCTTATTAGTCTTGATTGTTTTTATATGAGCGTATATGTGTGTGCCCTTCTTATCCCATTAATCACATGTCTGTAGCTTTATTTTGTCTGACTATAAATATTGGGTAACACTTGAATAAAATGGAGTTGGCTTCCCAGCCATCTTCTCTGCGTGTCGTTTTGCTCTGTTCTATTACATTCACTTTACATACAAAATACATGTATTCAAAGGCCATTCTCGTTAATTGACTTACCTAAATTCCGTTATTGACTAACATGATTTAAGTCGATGGTGATAAACGAGAAAAGGCGATAACAATCATTCGTACGCTCTAAATGGAGTCAGATCAACGGGCCACCAAACCTTAACTAATTAAATGCACTTGCCCTTCGGATCACCTTTGATTACCATTAATTGACCTTCTTGTTTAGCTACTTCTGATTGACTTACTACATTGCGCTAATATATCACATAATTCTGATAATCTTCGTCTTCTTATTACATTATCGAAACTTACTACATTAGTTAGCTCTAGTTTTTAATATATCTTTAAAATCAGATTTGTTATAAATGTTGCTAGTTTTGATATTAAATTAACATAATATAATCATTTAGTTATAGTTATTCAACTGAAACTTACAATTGTTTCATTTTTACAGTAGAGAATACCCGACAAATAAATCGTGTTTCTTGATTTGGATTATATGTTGATGGTATTATAACAAATGTTCCAGGAAAAAGGTCAGCTTCTAATGTTACTTCACGTCTTGGAATGTAGTCTGATGTTAACAATGGTTTTCGGCATAATAATTCTTCTGCTGTAAGACATGTAGTTTGCAGTTCAGATACCTAAGTTAATAGATTTTTAACTGTTCTTCATAAAATTAATTTAAATATAATTTTTACTGAATAATGCATTAAATTTTTAAACAGTTTGCTATAAAACATGCTTTTTTCCTTAAGTCATTGTTACAGTTTGTTAAGTAATGTTGAATAAAGAATAATAAACTGCTGAGTGCTCTCTATCTTTTTCCAATAGTGTTTCATGATATCCACCCTTACATTGGTTGATATACCATAATAACTAGAAGTAATCGTTGATCATATGAGGACATAATTACAGATGATCGTACATAATATAAACATCAACCTTTACACAAGCATGATGCTATACGGCCACCCTCTTTTTCTTTCTTAATTAAGTTAAATAAATATTTTATGAGAGCAATACCTTCAGCAGATTCATTTATTATTTGCTTAGAATCAAGATACCGAATCCATTAGTCAGTATAAAGTGAATTGAGATAGGAGATACCATTCACCCATAATTTTAAAATTCCACACACATAGTTCCCTTTATCATTTTGGAAAGAGCAACAACAAAGATTCTAGCAGAATAATATGAATTCATTATATTTCTTAGGTTCTCGTCAGCTGCTTACAACCTGTGATATTTAAAAATCATAATTACATAATGGGTTTAAATTACTTACATGAGAGGGTTTGGTTGGAAATTTTATTGAAGACATATTCGTATAGAATAGCAAGGGTGTATACAAATTTAATAGACTGAATATTGTAAATATATACCTTATGTAAAAGAACATTGTGACAACAGTTCAAAAGGCTAGAAACAAGTAAACATTGATAGAAATAAAATGAGTAGAGTTCAGTTGATAAAATAAGGTGATTAATTTGGAAGATTGTTGGAGTTAAACTCAATGATGTGATAAGTGCAAGAAAGAGTTTAAAGAAAAGAAAAAGATATATTAAGATACGGTGAAGGAATATTTGTCACCAAGGCAAGGAGAAATTAATAACCATCTCCTTTTGAACACATAAATCAGGTTTTTGGTGGCTGATAGCAACTGCTTCAATAAACTTCAGAAGACTGGAGTTTGGCTGCTTACTAATCATATTGAATGATTGTAGAGTATCGACCTGATGTCCTGTATCAAGGAGATGTTTGATGATTGCACTATTTAGAGTCTTTCTTTCTCTCGTTCTGAAATGTTTTGGAACATATTCAAAAAATCTGAGATATTCCTTCCTTTCTGTTCTGCCAATGTAGCTGCTTTGGCAGGTACACGTAAATTTATAAATACAATTGGCGGTAACATGAAAAGGATGTTTATCAACCTTTGATAGAGTTATTGAACATGTTGTTTTATACAGAATTAGAAGTTTGGCCGCCAGATAAGTTCTGGCTAGCCCAGTATTCAATCTCCTGATGAGTGTGTTTGCAACATCAGGTTTTTTACATAAGGTATATATTTACAATATTCAGTCTATTAAATTTATATACACCCTTGCTATACTATACAAATATGTCTTCAATATAACTTCCAATCAAACTCTTTCATGTAAGTAATTTAAACCCATTATGTAATTATGATTTTAAATATCACAGGTTGTAAGCAGCTGACGAGAACCAACGAAATAAAAATGAATCCATACTATTCTGCTAGAAAGTTTAAAATTATCAAGAAATAGGAATAAAGTAGGGTTTATAATATTTCCTATCACCTTTGGCTAAATATTTGCATAAATAAACTATATGAGCAAACATTTGTTTTCAATCATTTCATCATCAGGCTTTACAGTTATCAGTCCATAAATTATGATATTTTACAATATAATATGTAATAAAAAGGGGGGGGGATTATCAAGTTAATTACCATACAAAGGGTTTGCATAAATTTCTAGTTTTGTTGTCATAGGTCACTGATTAATAGGTATATGTATATAAGCAAATATTATAACAAAGTAAGAACGTAAACTGGATAATAGTTATGATCGTTATTAATAAACTAACATAAACAATCATAAACTAATACAAATAAATGGGATTTATCTTTTACAAAGAACAAATAAAACAGAAGTGAATTTAAGGGCAATTCAACGAAGAAAATTTCATTCACTTAAGCCGTATAATTATATACACGGTGATTTATAAAATTAGTTTATTTATAAATAAAAAATTACATCGTTTCACGAATCAAAAACATGACGTAACTATAAAGAATTAAAAGAAAGGTCAAAATGGGTTTTATGGAGAGTTTTTTTTTAGAAATTTCATAGGTTGAAATCATGAGTCGATTAAAGCTAGACCACCATGGAAAACCTGGAAGCACTGGACGGCCATTTCGTCCTAATATCGGACTCCTCAGCAGTGCACATCCACGATCCCGCACCACGCGTAGTTCAAACCCAGGACCTACTGGCTTCGCGCGCGAGCACTTAACCACTAGAAGCCGTTACCAGTGGAGTTCAACCAGGTCTGTTGTGAGATAACAACTCACTGAAGACAATGGTGTACGGTGGCGCAACTTCGTGGATTGGTTGAAGTTAGACATTAACACCGTTGGATGCCGGCTCAGTGGTCTAGTGGTTAAGTGCTCGCGCGCGAAGCCAGTAGGTCCTGGGTTCGAGCCCCGCGTGGTGCGGGATCGTGGATGTGCACTGCTGAGGAGTCCCATATTAGGACGAAATGGCCGTCCAGTGCTTCCAGGTTTTCCATGGTGGTCTAGCTGTAATGGACTCATGATTTCAACCTATAAGAGAAAGATCTTAAGATGAATGATTGTTGTCAATTTGACTTGTATGAGAAGACAATTTAAAAGTTATGGCCATGTAGAACAAATACGGTATCAGTCAAATTTCAAATTAATTATCTTATCCTTCTACATTTAATCTTTCACTTTATAGATATTCACCACAAACTGTCAGCACCTCTGAGTATAGCTTTATTGAATTTAGGATTGACCGTTATAAAATACTCGGCAATATTAGTATCATACATACAATCTGTGGAAAGTAGTAAACTTTCCCTTTCATTACTTTCGGATTTAAACAAAAGTTCTTATAAATTAATAATAATGATATAACAGATGGTTGTAATATTTACCATCCTTACACGTATATTACGATAACACGTAAATGACACTAATCACGCTATATCAGAACCAGAATTCGTGCCACAAAATAGAGAACCAGATTAATACAAGAGAGTATTTTATTCAATACAGTCACAAACACTCACACACAGTAAGTTCAGAACAGAAATCAATGAGAGGAAGGATAATCACATACTTAATATCAGTGTGGGGTTGTGGAGACAACCAAGTTTTTGATTAAGATCAGGAATCCATGAATATTAGACCACCACTGAAAACCTGCTAGCACCGGTTGGCCGAATCGTCCTAAAATAGGATTCGAACTCAGGGTCTTTAGTCTCGCGCGCGAATACTTAACCTCTAGGTCATTGAGCCAGCATCAAATGGTGTCAACGTCTAACTTTGAATCCCGCGTGAGGGATTGTGAATGTACACTGCTGAGGAGTCTCATATTAGGACGAAGCGGCCGTCCAATGCTTCCAGGTTTTCAATGGTGATCTAGCATTCATTGATTTGTGATCTCAATCAAAAATATATTGAATATTCGGTAGGCTGTGACTGTTTGTCCATGTTCAACGACCAATCGTACTTTACTGTCACTACCACACATCAAGTAATAATAATAACGATAATAATAGGTTATAGTCTCTCAACTATCATATTTTTTGACCAATTATTTGAGAGTCAACTGTTTTAATGAAGATAAAATTAAATTATCTTTAACCATTAATAATAATCTTTGTAAAACTTTTACGACACAAAAGAAAGTATCATCAGGAAGCGTATTTTATAAATTTCTATTGTTACTTACTTCATATATTGAAAAACCTATAGCCAAATAATCTCCGCCATAAAAAAGTCTTCTGTATTCTTGCATAACTCCTACGATGATATGTGTTTTAGTAACTTTAGCATTGTGGTCAGCTCCAATTGTAAATAAATACTGTGGATTTGTACAGAATGATTCTGTATAATAAATTTGTATTTGATTATTTTGATAAATCATCATTTGTACATCTCATAAAACAACATAGATCATGTATGATAAAAGTGTTTAGATAAGTCTACTTTTGATAGGATTATTAAGATAGATTTCGCTGAGAATTTTATCTGTATATGAGGGTGGTAGATTTTTAATAACTTCGATATAAGTTCTATCGATAACCTGGAATTCAGTACTAAGCAAATGTTTACAATGATTATGTGTTACCAACAGTTAAATATCAAACGTATAGTGATAGGAATTAGAACCTACTGTTTAAAAAAGTGAAGGTAGATTTGGGCAAGTTAGTTATTTAACTTTCAATCTACAACCTATTGATGTAAAGGTTTCTGCTTTAATATGAACTAAATAGTGTTCAAAATGAAGCTTATGTGTGAAGAAGTCATATATAGGTAGTTTGTATATATACTGTTAACTTTTGAATTTGATTGCTTGACTGGGCTATATTAGTAACTTAAGAATAGTATATGGATGTTAAACTGATATTATTTACTTGTCGATGTCATGCACTAACTTGTTTAATGGTATAAACAGAATTACCTGGATAGTTAAATGATCCTCCAGCATTTACATTTGCAACCCATTCACCAGTAAAACATATTTCCTCACATCTTTTCTTTTTGTCGATTTCATCTCTATGGTCTAAACTTGTGTATCCAAGATGACATATTTCAAGTAGAGCGAAATTCTTTTCAAAATCCTCGAACGACATCCTAAAATGTAGTTGGCATTTCGACAACCAAAACACAAAACTAAGCAATTAAAATGCATTATTGGTCCATATAATATATATATATATATATATATATATTACTTACGCCTGTTACGCCACGTGGAGTAGCATAAGCCACCCACCAGCATTCTCCGTCCAACTCTGTCCCAGACAATCCTTTCCAGCTCTTTCCAGTTGCTATTCATCCGTTTCAAATCTGCTTCCATTTCGCGACGTAATGTGTTCTTTGCCTTTTCTATTTACAGCTTCCCTTCAGGATTCCAAGTTAAGGTTTGTATCGTGATGCAGTTTGATGATTTGAGTAATGTATGTCCTATCCACCAACTCCATCGTCTCTTCCTAATTTCCTCTTCAGCTGGAAGATGGTCTGTTCGCTCTCACAGAAGGCTGCTAATGATGATATCCGACCAATGGATGTTGAGTATGTTGCGTAGACAACTATTTATAAATACTTGTATCTTCTTGATGATGGTTGTAGAAGTTCTCTAGTTCTAGTTTCAGCTCCATACAGTAGAACTGACTGTGTTGGTATTGGTTGAAAGTTGTTTTTAGTTTCATTTGTTCTTCAATTGTAGGAATGAGGCCCTTGCTTTGTAAATCCTCGCCTTTACGTCTGTATCTGATCCTCTACGTTCATGGACTATGCTGTTCAGGTACGTGAATGTCTTCATATCTTCCAGAGCTTCTCCATCAAGTGAGATTGGGTTGGTGTTCTCAGTGTTTTATTTGAAGATCTTGCTTTTTTCGATGTGTATGTTGAGACCTCCTGATTCAGAGGCTTCAGTTATACTAGTTGTCTTCATCCGCATTTGTTCGTGTGTATGGGATAGAAGAGTTAGGCCATCTGCGATGTTCGGATCGTCTAATTGTTTCTGAGCTCTTCATTGTATTCCGTGTTTTCCCTCAGATGTCAAGGTTTTCATAATCCTCCAGCCAACCACCAAAAGAGAGGGGAAGGGGAAGAGTAGACATTCTTGTCACTTGGAATGCATCTGTCAGCTGTTCTTAATGCACGACTTTGCACCGTAGTTTGAGTTCCGGATAATGTTGACAGTCTTCTTAGAAACTCCATAGTGTCGAAGAAGGTTTCATAACATTCTGTTATCTACACTGTCAAACACCTTTTCGTAATCAATGAAGCTGATGTATAGTGACGTGTTCCACTCAACTGATTGTTCGACGATGATCCGTAGTTTTGCATATAATTGCACTTCTAAAAGCTACATTTCTCAAGAAAGGAATATCTTACTTTGAAGAAATAAAGATACTTAATAAAAATCATGCATCTCTTCTGTGTAATAACTTGCGAACTAATTGATGTTTGCTGGTTAGTGTACGTTATCAGTATCACACCAAATGTATATTTTTAGCCTCATTCCGTCAGTATATTGGTATCGTTTCTCTCGTTTTCTTTTATTGTATCAATTATTGCAGAACATTACGATCAATAATTTCTATTTATTATATAATTAGAAATACGTAGTAATGTATGATACACATATCATCAATTTACAGAATAACTTTAAATAAAATAAAAGCATAACTCTTCGATAAAAAGGAGCTCGAACAGCCCCAAAATACATTGATTCAGTGGAATAATTCTTTTTCATTAAAATGTTTTAAAACGGACATAGTCTATTTCTTATATAATTGTTTTGTGTAACAATTAAGTAATAGGTCACTTTAAACAACCAAATTATAGACATCATTAGTTTAGATTTATAACAAATAAGTTATAGGCCTGGTGTAATTTAATATTAAAGTTTTTTTTGCAAGTACCTGAAGAGTCATCAAATCTTTCAGTATACAATATAACTATCATTTGTAATGATCACTAAGATTTTCGATTCCTTAAATCTTCTTCTTCATGGCTTCATATATATTAAATTACAATGGAATGAATCAGTTATCTGGTTTCGAGTTATGTTGGATTAATATTCTGTTCTCATTTATGCAACTATCAAGAATGAATGAAGTAATTTCCTATTGTTAACTCCTTTATCAAATTGTAAAGACTTAAAAGTTATTTGGAATTAAAACATTCGATAAAGTTCAAAAGAATGTAGCCAAAAAAATTTGGAAAACCTTAAATTAAATTGACAATTTAATGAAAGAAGGAATGAATCAAGCAAAGAAATTTCTTTTCAATTAGTTTTTCATCATTATTCGATTCATTCCTTCTTTATTTACTAAAATGTTAAAATGGGACAATTTAATTGACACATAAATCTGTAATTATGTTCAGTAGTAAAATGGTATTTGATATTATACTAGTTTACTTCTAAGTTGAAATCAAACATTATTATTAGTATTATTATCCTTGTCTCCCCTTACCCCATTTCCAGTTTAATTGACCTTCTAATTTTTATATATAAATGTTCTTAGCATGTATATATGTGATCAGATTGTTCGAAATGTATTACGCTAATATACCACATAGTTCTGATAATCTTCGTCTTCTTATTACATGATCGAAAGATGAACGAGCCATAAAGTTGATATAGTTAATAAAGAAGTGTTCAGGTTGTTATTAAATGTAACTCAGTATAAAAGTAATGAAGTTTATTATTATCATCATCATCATCATCAAATCAATCAATTTATAGCTTTTTGTTTCTCCTAACATTGACTTGGCAAGCTTATAAAAAATGGATCTTTACTGAATGTATATTTTGTAATGATCTAACATCAAGAAACTTATATATTCAAATCTTTACTTAAATTGGTTTGATCTACATAGTTCATTGAATTTACTATGAATGTGATACCTGACTATTACAAATTACAAAAAAAAAAATAATGAATTAATAAAAGACTAAACAAAATAGAAATATGATGAATAGGTTTTATTTTATATTACCAGAATTCTCCATCTTCTTTTGCTTTATACTGTAAAACTTTTTTATCTTTAGATTTAACATTTTTCCATTCAGGTGAATTATCTGACCAAGATCCTTTCCATTCATGTTTTTCTCCCCAAGGATTACGACAACGTACTAAATTCACTTCTTTACCGAGATGATTAACCTTTAATATATTATAAATAAAGAATAAGAAATGATCATAATAATAATAATAATAATAATAATAATAATAATAATAATAATAAGGAATTCAATACTTGAGTATTTCATGAGTAGCAGTATAATTAGTGTATATACTTGTAAATCGATTGTTTAGAAAATTACGGCTTAATTTTGACCTCAATTTTCAATTTTTGATGTACTCTAAATCAAGTATGATCTACTTCAGAGAGAATGAGACACTAAAAAACTAAGAGAAATCAAGAGCTAGATATATAAACTTGTTGTTCATTCTTTCAAGTTACGAGACTGTATACTACCAGACTTGATGACTGAAAAGTTGTCTAACCCATGTGATTGCTTTTAGCGTTGGTGAGTCCTCTTGTATGGTCCCTTGTTATGTTAATCCAATATACCTCATACTAGTTTCTGAACATGCCGATTTTTTAATTTTTTTTGAGCCACATTTTGACTTTGTTGATTATTCACTTATCAACCTTGGCTATTTTTACATGAGCACATATGTGTGTACACTTCGTATGCTATTCAATACATGTCTGTAACTTATTTTTATCTGGATATAAATATTGATTGACGCTTGATTAAATTGATTTGGCTCATATGCCTTCTCCACCGCGCATCATTTCGTTTCGCCTTGTTCTTTTGATTGTCTGCCTGGATCAATGATTGTACAAAATATATGCATTCGAAATCCTTTCTCGTATTTCACATATTTTAATTCCGCTATCTACCGACGTGATTTTAGTCGATAGGCGACATATGTATTTCAATAACAATCATTCATACGATATAACTGGAGTCAGATCCTGGGCCACAAATGCGATGAGTACATCGATAACATCGCCCGATCTAATTGACGTCAAAATGAAGGGTTTCACTAAACTCTTAACTAAGCAGTTTATGTATCAGTAGTTGCTTAATTTTTTGGTTTTATTTACTTTTAACACAGACTAGGCTGATTAGAGATTTTTGTGCTTTAGTTATACAGTTCGCATAAAATAAGGCTTCCCTCGGTTACGGATAGAGTTTACATTATTATAAATCATAATAAATAAAGATTAATTCATTCCAATCACAATTATTATGATGATTAACTATAAGATAACTTACTTTCGCAACTCCAGTTACACTATAAGCATGAGAACCTATCAGTCCCATTTTTTCTCGTCTTTTATTTTTATCTCCCTAAAATAAATCAAATACAAGAGGAGATTGTAGCAAAAGATAAAAAAATATTCCGATGAATGTACTTTTTGTAGGAATCAATCAACCACTCAAATGGTCCTTAGAACAGAGATCGGTTTTGATATTAACGGTAGAGTTAGGAATAGGATTTCTAACTATTTCAATTACATGCGTAACTGTAAAGAGTAGAGTTCTTCAGGGGACGATTATAAGTCGTTTCATTTTTTCATTATGAAAATGACCTATCGAGAGTGAAAATGTCATTTATGAGCGAAACTAAATTGTAGACACTCATTCATAGCAGTCACAGAGGATTACAGAGAGATATAAGTGCTCTGAATAAGTGGGGGGATAGACAGTCGTTAGAGGCGAATTCCAGCAAAGTGTTGTTTCACGATCGGAGTTGTGACAAGTCATACAACTACACAATAAACGAAATCGTTTCACCTAATTTTATTGATTCTGAGTATTTGGGAGTCATAGTAAGTGATGATCTTAGAACCACGGTGTACAATTGCCACAGGCTATCAGATCTTGTAGGTAATTTGTGAAGCTTTTCGGCACTTGGATGAATATATTTGCTGAATATTTTACCCAACTCATACGTGTTGTAATTTGGGATATGAAGTCCAGATAATAGGTTCATGTTTAAAAAATGGTGAGGATATACTAGAACGGGTTCAGTGCCGATCTTTCCGATCCGACATAGGTTTCGAGGAGATCCGTTACTGACTCGCCGTTGACTGAATGATGATTAACGCGTCCTTGTTTTTTGTATATCTAGAACCGATCATCTAAGATTGGGTTTTCAGAAAACTTAAGGGCAATATTGAATCGTTTGCATCTCAAGTTTCGTTTCTCATATCGATTCATATACTATTGGGATTCTTGACCAGAACATAAGTTATTGAAAAATAGTAAATTACTGTGGTTTGGTGTTGATTTTATCAAAACTCCCGTGAAGAATAATTTAGCAGATATACTTAAATTGTGTCAAGTACCTAATTTGCAAACACTTGTATAAGAATTCATCTAACCGTTGTCAAAAGACAGCTACAGACTTAAGTTACCCAAAAGAATAACTAACACCAACATCAGCACCCAAAATACAACATGTTTTTGTGTAGTGTTCCATCATTTTAAATAGGTTTGGTGGACGTTCTTTTTGATTCAAAATAACAGTAGTACATATTCCGCCAGTAAAATCCTCCATCGCTTCACTTTGAAATCCACCAGTTAGATGTGCATAACTACCGCATAATCTGTATAGGAACGGGAGAAAAAAAAAGTTCTAAACCTTAGAAAATTTTAAGGATAAATCACAAACAAAATAAAATTTCATGTGAATGGTAAGTAGTCACATTAAACACAATATTGTAGTGGTACTTTCTATTGACATAAAAAGCAGATGTTTATCCACTTTCGCGTACATTAATGAAAATATTAGCCAGTCCACCAGTTATCGTCAAATTAAAGCCCGAAAAAGCAATACGTCAACTCAAGATGACAAACAAAATGATCACGACGAAATGAACTTAATGAAACGAATAACTAAATGGTCGAAATAAAGTAGTAATGGTAAAGAAGATTGAGGTTTGAGAGTATGTACTAAGAAAGTGGAATAAAGGGGTATTTATGAAGCGATACTAGAAATTATGTTCTAGAGAATGATAAAGAATAAGTAAATTTACACAATTGCGACTGATTTTGAAATTTCTTTCAGCGTCTCCAACCACTAATTGCGGTTGTTTCGCCGACCCTAACCATGTTGTATAAATCTAGTAACATGACTCAGATCAACTGTTAATGAATTCATGAGTTGGTGACAGATTTTGGTTTGGTCACCTTTAGCTTTCTTTCAGCCTACTCTAACAACATGTGTTATCGTGTATCGAGGGAGGCGGTTGTTTGACACACATAATACATATCTCAATCACCAGAGTCGATAAAGATGTACAACCTCATCAAGTTTTTACTCAGTGAGGTTGGTGGAAAGTGGAAACATAATAAATTATCAGGGAGGTCCTGCAGTCTCAGTGGCCGGTTCGTCAAGTTAAGAATGTTAATTCTTAAAGTTAACCATCGTTGATATTGAGATAACTCACCACTGTGTATAAATGTACATAGAAAATTTGAGGAAGAAGGGTATCATGACAAAGTGGTCGGTGTTGGATAGGCTATGAATTTATTAGGTGGGTTAACTTTGAAGTAAGGGTATATATATATACCCTGAAGAAGTGGCTTATATTAAGTAACGAAACGTCAAAAACACAATTTTCTACCCATCTGGATATCACTATATATATATCCTTGGCTTGATTGTGAATGGGCACTGCTGCGGAGTCTCATACTTGGACTAAACGACCATCCTGTGCTTCCAGGTTTCTCATATTGGTCTGGCTTGGATCGGCTTGTGATTTCAATTGTGAAAATATGTAAAATCGATATAATCTATCGCAGTTATTCATTTCTTGAATAAAATGAACTTGTATGATTGTGGAAATCATTTTAAATTATTCCTCATCAATAAACTGAATTACCTAACATATGTTCTTCATATTACCACTATTGTAAAACGTTTTACCCATAAAATTAGCGCAAATGTAGAGAATTCAAAGTACATCAGATTAACACATAATGATCTTTATTTTCACTTTACAAAAAGGAAATTTAAATATAAAACCCATAGTAATGTGATTTATTATTATCCCCTTTTTTCCACTTTAATCTTAACTACCGATTTTTAAACTTTTAATCATTCAAGCAGATCAGGTTGTTAGAAATTTATTAAGCTGATCTGTATCATATAGTTTGGTAAAGGTCCAATTATATTACACAGGTAAACACAATATGTAGGATATATAAAATGATGTACTAGTTGTTATAAGAACAGAAAGATTGAATATTTCACATTTTGAAATAAGTGGTAGAGGGAACTTGAAAAAAACAAAAAATTATGTCGAAAATAATACTGGGTAAAATTATTTGTTCAGTTTAATTTATCTAAAGGACAGGTCAGGGTGCTGCAAATTTCTTATAATTTGCAGCGCGAATCGTTATCACTTCTGTTATATGTAGATGACATTGAACCTCATAAGGTATAATAGAAGATACACAAATTATTACCATTGTTTATTGTCTGATTACATTTAATAATTTCTAATGGTTAATATTTCAGTATATTAAAGATTCCCATTGTGAAAATTAGAACAATACATATAAGCAAACAGTTATTTTCAATTAGATCGTCATCAAGCTTTACTCTAATATACATGAATATTTATACGAAAATTTTAAACCAATCAAGGCAATATGGGTCAATACTCACAATGAAATAGAATAAGTCTCTACACATAATAGGTAAAAGTACAAGTTTATAGTAGGAAAACAGGTGAACTCTTAATAGTGAGAATAATAAAATACAATAACAAAACTCTTATCTCACAGATTGAAATCATGAGTCAGTTGAAGCTAGACCACCATGGAAAACCTGGAAGCACTGGACGGCCATTTCGTCCTAGTATGGGACTCCTCAGCAGTGCACATCCACGATCCCGCACCACGCGTTGTTCAAACCCAGGACCTACTGGCTTTGCGCGCGAGCACTTAACCACTAGACCACTGAGCCGGCATCTAACGGTGTTAATGTCTAACTTCAACTAATCCACGAAGTTGCGCCACCGTACACCATTGTCTTCAGTGAGTTGTTATCTCACAACAGACCTGGTTGAACTTCACTAGTAACGGCTTCTCACTAGAACTACGGGAGTTTTTCCTGAAGTCAGTCACTAATGAGCAGTTGATTATTATCAGAATGGGTTTTGTGGAGATTTTAGAAATTTCACTCTTATCACTAGTTAAATGTTGGAAATAGAAGGTCAAACGTGGGTAAATAGACTTGGGATAGTCATCACAAAACATTAGAATTCATTACGTAATAAGTGTGTAAATAATTAGATAGTGAGGAATACAAGCGGGAAGAGGTGGAAAATTACAAACAAATACTAGATGTGAAAATAAGACTAATGATAACCAAAATGGAATAAAATAAATAATAATAATGATAATAATTTTTAAAAATATCGTTAGTTGACCCATATTGCCTTGATTGGTTTAACATTTTCGTATAAATATTCATGTATATTAGAGTAAAGCCTGATGACGATCTAATTGAAAATAATTGTTTTCTCATATGTGTTGTTCTAATATCTCAGTGTCTATCTCTTCTACACTTTTTAAAATAACTTCCTATCATGAAACATTGAACGCTTTTGTTAATGTTATCATAACTGCTACACCTATCATCACAATATCGATTTATGTTGGAATTTTGTTCTTTGAGCTGGATGATTTGGCAATGGATCTTTCCTCGTTCTTCTGAATGACATCATTAACAGAAAATTGAAATAGAAGTGAATTGTTTGTGTTGATGTATGGTAATGTTCATCACAATTTGCAATAATACTATCAGAATCGGGATTTGTGGAGATTGTAGTAATTTTCACAGTTGAATTTATGAGCCAGTTTAAGCCAAACCACCAGGCTTTCAATGATGGTCTAGTTGTAAATCGATTAATGAATTCGAATGTTAGAATAATACTATCGCTTTAAAAGAATATTTTGTTACGGAAGACAATTTTCGAAGAAAGATTTTGTTTATTCACGCCGGCCGCCCCAGTGATCTAGTGGTTAGGAGCTCACACGCGTGACTGAGACGTCCTGGGCTCGAATCTCGTGGAGTGAGGGATCGCGGATGCTCACTGCTGAGGAGTCCCATACTAGGACGAAACGTCGGTCCAATGCTTCCAGGTTTTCCATTGTAGTCTATCTTCAGATGACTAATGATTTCAATCAAAAATAATTTTGAATTATTTGTTTATAATTTCATGCTACTAATAAGTAGTTCAAATGCAAATATAAGATTAGTATTATTCCATGAACTTACTTGGCATATGCTTTTTCCAGTAGGCATGACCAAAACTCATTTGTATCTGTTGAATGCATGAATACTAAGTTACATGTTCCCTTAAGAACTGGTAGACGATCATCGATTACAACTTCCACCCATTCTCCAAAACGCCAAAAATTGAACACAAATGCTCCTGTATAAAGTGTACCTCTGAAAGTTTGATTTGGTGGTATGATGTTATTCATCAATGCAGGATATTTCGTAATTGTAGCCATAACCGCACTGAACCAACAGTCACCTTACAGATAATCAAGAAGAATTGATCAAGTTAGGCTCTACTCAAAACTTGCATAATAAAAATTCATAGAGTTCGATATTTTTCACAAATAATTCGACGTTGTTATCTTGGATAAATACAACATCATGCTTACTTACTTACGCCTGTTACTTCCAATGGAGCATAAGCCACTGACCAGCATTCTCCAAGCCAGTTTTTTTTTAGCCTTCCTTTCCAGTTCTGTCCAATTTTTGTTCATTTTTCTCATGTCTATCTCCATTTCCAGGCGTAATGTGTTCTTTAGTCTTCCTCTTTTCCTTTGGTCTTCAAGATTCCGTGTGAGGGCTTGTCTTGTGATGCAGTTCGGTGCTTTCTTCAATGTATGTCCCATCCACTTACAGAACTTCTTCATGATTTCTTCCTACGCTGGGATCTGGTTTGTTCCCTCCCACAGTTGGTTTTTGCTGATAGTGTCTGGTCAACGGTAGAACTGTCTTGACATTCGTATTGAAAATTCTGATCTTGATGTTGGTTGACATCTGTTTTGAGTTCCAGATATTCTTCAGTTTTAAATATAATGCTCCTGCTTTACTGACTCGCACTTTCACATCTGCATCAGATCCACCGTGTTCATCAATCATGCTGCCCAGATATGTAAAGGTTTTTATATCTTCCAAATCTTCTCCGTCAATTGTGATTGAATTGGTGCCTGCTGTGTTGTATTGGAGAATCTTACTTTTCCTTTGTGTATATTGACACCTACTGCTGCTGAGGCTGATGCTACACTGGTCGTCTTTTCCTGCATTTGTTGTTGCGTGTGCGATAGAAGGGCGAGATCATCTGCTAAGTCTAGATCGTCCAACCGCATCCTAAATTTCCGCTGTATCCCGCGTTTCCCTTCAGATGTTGACATCATGATCTAGTCGATCACCAGGATAAAGAGAAAAGGTGAGAGTAAGCAACCTTGCCTGACATCGGTCTTTACTTCGGACGACTTTGTCAACTGTCCTCCGTGCACAATTTTGCAGTTTAATACGTCATAAGAGTTCTTTAGTGTTGTCTTGTCTACGTCATCGAATGCTTTCTCGAAGTCAGTGAAGTTGATATAGAGCAGTGAATTGCATTCGATTGATTGTTTCACAATGATCCGTGGAGTTGCGATTTGGTCTTTACACGATCCTTACAGAATCCAGCATGTTGGTCTCGAAGTTTGGCGTCTACGGAGTCCCTCGTTCTTTTAAACAATACCCTGTTGAAGACTTTTCCCGGTATTGAGAAGAGTGATGCCCCTGTAGTTATCACAGTTGCTGAGATCGCCTCTCTTTGGTATTTTGACCAGAAGTCCTTCTTTCCAGTCTCTTGGTACTTGTTCCTCATCCCAAATCTTATCAAGGAGAATGTAGAGTATCTTTCCAGTGCCTTTGCTGGAATGTTGTCTGGTCCTGCCGCTTTGCCGCTCTTGATTTATCTGATGGCCATTCTGATTTCTTTAATTGTTGGTGGGCTAACATCGATTGGGAGGTCCATGTGTGCTACTTCGATGTTGGGTCGGTTAAATACAACATCATGACCTGTTTGATATTCAGATAGCCAAAAGTGGAACAGAGTATATCAAACGAATTATGACATGCGTTTCTAAGTTATCAAATACGTATTTGTCTTAGCTTATTTGGTTTGTTCCGCGTTTCATTATTATTTTTTCAAGTATTCGTCCACACTTTCTTAAAGGTTTCATCTGGTAAAAGCTGATTAACAAGCAATGTCTGAAGCGTGTAAGAAACTGATGTTTTTATTTAAAAGGCTGAATGTCACTTGAGTTGATGGTCACTGAATTCATTAATTCAATTACTTACTGACATTTCGAAGGTAAAAAAGGTAATCAGGAAACATGATCTTACCAAGAGCACCTTGATCAACATCAAAGCGAGAATAACATTTTGTATAAAAAGCTGCATAAGGATTAATATCCTAAAATGTAAAACAACAAAACTTACGATGTAACAGATGAAATAAAATTTACATTGATAAAATGAGTTTTATCTAGTTCTATGCACCCATAAATGATAGCAGTGAAGAGAGTTTTGAGTCAATCGTAGTAAAGTGTCCAGGAAACGACCTGACCATCCTGATACGAGACTTGAACTCCAAAGTCGAAATGAACAAAGCCAGGTGTCAAGATATCATGGGAGGACATGGACTGACTGGAAAAAAGGGACGAAACTGGTTACAGATTTGCAGATTCATGTGCATCTAACAACCTGGTTATAGGTGACACCAATGCATACACAAACCTACATGGGTCTCATCTCATCACACTACACAGAACAAGATCGAACATAATTCAATTCATGGAAGATTCAAAATATCATTGGAAGGTATGAGAACCAGGAGAGGGGCTGACATAGTTCCGGATCACCACCTGGTATTTGTCAAGATGAAACTGAAGCTCAATAAGCACTGGAAAACCGGAGAAACAGCATTACTAAAGTTCAATACAGACTTCTTTCAACATGCTGACAAACTCAACGAATTCAAGATAAATCTCAACAACAGGTTCCAAGATTTACAGGATCTTCTGAAATAAGAAGAAACCGCGATGGAGAACAAAGGGAAATGGATCACTGCAGCACCAACTTCATAGTATCAGGAGACTTTGGGTCGCAAGAAGCATCATCACAAGGAATGGATCTCTATCGAAAAACAGGATAAGATTCAAGAAGGGAGGAACACGAAGACAGCAATTAACAACAATCGAACAAGAGCTGGGAGATTCAAGGCACAATCTGAATACACTGGAGCAAACAAGTAACTGAATAGCAGCATTTGAACTGGCGAGCAGAAATATATGGAGGACAGAGGATAAAACTGTAAGAGAAGAAAATATGAAACACCTATATGACACATTGGAGAAACTGGTGTGGAAATCTAGTGAACCAGAGAGACCGAACAAGGACTAAGAAGACAAGCTAATCACTGACATTCAGGGACAGATGAACACGTGGGTAGAACACTGAGGAATTCCCGTAGGGATCAGCCGCACTCAACCTACTGGACAGCAAGGCAGTACACACAGACCTACTTGTAGATCTCACCCTGCCAACGATCGAAGAAATCAGGATGGTCATCAGACAAATCAATTGTGGGAGAGCAGCAGGACCAGACGACATGTCAGCTGAAGCAATGAAGTTAGATATGAAGGTGGCTATGAACATCCCCCACGTTCTATTCAGGAAGATTTTGTAGGAGAAATAAGTGCCGAAAGATTTGAAGGAAGGATACCTCATCAAGATACCAAAGAAGGGAGATCTGGGCAAATATGAGATCCACGTAGGAATCACACTATTGTCAGTACCAAGAAGTTTTCAACAGAGTATTGTTGAACCGGATGGGGGACTCAGTGGACGCCCAATTTCGATATCAACAGGCTGGGTTCCCTAGTGATAGTCCGTGCACAGACTTAAAGGCGACACTGTGGATCATCATTGCGCAATCAGTTGAGTGGAACTCGTCACTGTACATAAACTTCCTTGGATATGGGATGGCGTTTGACAGCCTAAGTAGCAAAATAATATGAAACCCTTTTCGACAACACTTTACACTCGAGAATATTGCCGCTATCATGTGGATATAATATGAAGGATTGCACCGAAAAGTTGTGCTTAAAGGATAGCATCCCAAGTGAAGAACTGTGTCAGATAAGATTGTTTACTCTCACCCTTCCTCTCTTTTCTGGTGGTCGACTGAATTATGAAAACCTGCACATCTCAGGGAAAACATGGAATAACATATGTTCCTTGGATGCAGCTAGGCGATTCGAACTTCGCACGTGACCTAGCTCTTCTATTCCATATACCGAAACAAATGTAGGTGAAGACAGCCAATGTGGCAGTAGTTTTTACAACGATAGGCCAACATTATAGCCAGAACCTTCAAGGCAAAAGTCGGGATAGTTCTGTTGTATGGAACTGAAACTTGGGGAACTACTGCAGCCATAATCAAGAAGTCCAAGTATTTGTGAACAGATGTCTACGCAAGATGCCCGATGTCCGTTGACCCGGTACCACAATCAATGACCCACTGTGAGAGAGAGCAAACTAAATTCTAGATGAAGCTGAGACTTGGTAAAACACCAAAGGTGAATAGGACACACATTGTGGAAATCACCAGACTGAGTAACGAGGCAAATCTTAATTTGGAATCCTGAAGGCAAAGAGAAAATAGGCAGATCAAAGAACAACTTAAACTAGGATTTTGAGACAGACATAAAGAGAATGAATAGCACTTAGAAATTACTGTAATGGATTGCATAGGACAGAGTTGGATGAATAATGATGATGGAAGGCCTATGCTCTTCCACGAAGGGTGACCGGAGTAATCAATCGACGGTATATGGCTGTAGAGGCTGTTGAATTGTAATTAAGATCATTAACCGATCAATGTTAGAACAACACTGAAAACCTGAAAGCATCAGTTAACTGTTTCGTCCTAGTATGGGACCCCTCATCCTTGTGCATCCATGATCCCGTACGTGGGATTTAAACTCAGTCTCGCGCGCCAACGCTTGACCTCTACATCAATGAGCCGGGATCCGACGGTGTTCAGCCAATCTACGATGTCACGCAACCATCCTCCATTGTCCTCTGTGAGTAAATGCCTCTCATTCGGCACTGGTCAAACGCTTATCACTAGGACTCTGAAAATTATCTCTTGAAGTTAGTCACTAGTGAGCACATGATAATTATTTGTATAGTGTTTTGAAGGTTTTTTGAGATTTAATTGAAATCATGAACCGATCATTTAATTCAATATGGTGTTAATAAGACTAAGCATAGAAATGTCTTTTAATCTTTACATCAAATACTGTCAAGACTTCATTCTGAGGTTTTTAGGAGATTTAGTGGTCTGGAAGTATCGATTCTAATTACAATCCGTTGTTAACTAAATAATTTTGCTAAGCTCTTTATTTTCACAGATAATCTTTTATTGCTACTATATATATGATTGTATAGCTTGATAATGAAGTCATCTGAAAAAAATTCTTTAGCTAAAATTCGTATTCCTAATGTTTGAATCCGATTTATATGTCTATTGATCGTGATGTGTTACCAATCAAGGATTTGTCCACATTATACATTTGTTCTGATAATTGATGATATAAATATAATGGAAAGAGCGATGTGGTAATTAATTATTCCTACCATATTGGGTTATACTTTCTTTTTTCTGCTTCTCATATTTGCAGTTGTCACAATTTACCCATTAAATTAACCCTTGTTTGTTTTTATATACAATAATGTAATGAAAGAATTTATCCTCAGCATTTTAGTTAATATATTGCACAAACACCCTAAATGTTTAAAATAAAATTTGTCATCTCATTTATATAAAGTGGATGACTGCAAAAATAACTTAACATTTATGTTGTTAGTTGATGACGATAAGTTTACATCACAGGTTCAATTCAAACTATCTACATAATTCAACAAACCAGTCCACATTCAATGTTTCTGTAGAATCAGATTACAGTTTCTTCCTGAGGTGTTTAACTAATCTATAACGCTAGTGATTTACGTATCTTATTAAAAATTAATTAAATCATTTGAAGGAAACAATCGTAGATATCGTTAACCTGATAAAGTAAATTTAATCACTGCTATTGGGTATCAGATATAAGAAGTTTATATTTATAATTTTGAATTAACTGATTAGAAGCGTATTAACAGATTTTATTGTGAATTCCATATCATACAGACTTACTTACGCCTGTCACCTCTCGTGGGGGAGTATAGGTCGCCCACCAGCACTCTCCATCCAACTTTGTCCTCCACTCTCCTATCCAGTTGTTTCCAGTTCCCATTCATCCTTTTCTGCTTCTGATCCCCAACGTGGTGTGTTTTTCGGCCTTCCTCCTTTTCGTTTTCCTCTAGGACTGCAAGTTGGAGCTTGTTTCGTGATGCAATTTGACGATTTTCACAAAATATGTCCTATCCAATTCCAAAGTCTTTTCCTAACTTCCTCTGCATCTGGAACGTAGTTTTTCCTCTCCTATAGTAGGCTGTTGCTGATAGTATCAGACCAACGATCATTCAGTATTTTGTGTAGACAATTGTTTATAAATACTTGTACATTTTCGATGACGATTGAGGTAGTTCTCGATGTTCCAGCTCAACACAGTAAAAGTGTTTTCACGTTCATATTGAGGATTCTCACTTCGATATTGATTGACAGTTGTCTTGAGTCCCATATATTCTTCAACTGTAGGAATACTGTCCTTGCCTTGCTAATCAGTGACTTCACACCTGTATCCGATCCTCCTCGTTCATTGATGATGCTACCCAGATAAGTGGACGCTTTCACACCTTCGAAAGACTCTCCATCCGGTTTGATTGATTTGGTTCTCTCAGTGTTGTATTTGAGGATCTTGCTTTTTTCGATGTGTATGTTGAGGTTTACCAATGTAGAGACTACCGCTACACTATCTGTTTTGACCTGCATTTGTTCGTATGTATGGGATAGAAGAGCTAGGTCAATTGTGAAGTCCAAATCGTCTAGTTGCATCCAAACTGTCCATTGTATTCCGTGTTTCCTCTAAGATGAACAGGTCTTCATAATCCTCCAGTTGACCATCAGATGAAAGAGGAAGGGGGAGGGTAAGAAACTTTGTTTATCTTCGGTTGTTCCATCATATGCATCTGTCAGCTTTTCTCCAAACACGACTTTGCAGTGCAGTTCGTCGTAAAAATTCCGGAGGATGTCGACAACCTTTTCATTTACTCACTTCAGAGGTTCGAAGAACTTTCCATAATGTTCTCCTGTCTACACTGTCAAACGCCTTTTCATAATCAATGAAGTTGATGTATAGTGACGTGTTTCACTCAATTGATTGTTCGACGATGATTCGTAGTGTAGCGATTTGGTTTGTGCACGACCGATCCTTACAGAATCCAACCTTTTGATCTAGAAGTTGGGCATCTACTGAATCTTTCATCTGGTTCAGCAACATTGTTGAAAACGTTTTCTGATACTGCCAGTATTGTGATGCCTCTGTATTTCTCACATTTGCTCAGATCTCCTTTCTTTGGTATCTTGGTGAGTTGTCCTTCACATCGTACAGAGTTCGTTCAATAGACCATAAATAAAGTGGTTGAAATATGTGCACATTTGTCTAAACATTTATTTCAATGGATGGGAGCTTTTTGGCTTTTAATGATTGTAAAGAATGGGAAACAAGCTAATCGTTTTTTGTTCTTTAGAACTAAAATATATTTTCCTTACAGTAATCAACTAAAAGGAACATGTAGTTTGTCCAATAAATAAAAGATATAATGTAGTGCAAACTTTATAAAACTCAGGGTACATTTATCTTGTCTCCCTTAGAACACATAAAAATTTATGACAAAATGCTTGTTCATTTCCATTTCTATTGATTAAAACATTCCTATATGTCTTAAAGAGTTGATATCTTCCGCTGCCTTGTCACTTTATGGTTCGTTGTGTACTTATAACGTCTTAACACTGGGTATAAAGCAAATCTCGTGAAGCTGCCTATAGAACACAGAGGATGATTTAGAGTTATGAGAAACAATTGAATGTGTAGACTGATTACTGAATGTTTGATAGACTGCGAACCTACCAAGAAATTAAAACTATCATTACTTATTAGTTCAGTGAAGATAGATCACTTAGGTGAGATCGATATAGATTGATTTTCACATAGGTATAATCCAATTTGTAGTTTATTTAGTTATATATATAGTTATAAATGGCTAAACAGGAACATACTTTAGGTCTTTTCCATTCTATTTTGCCCAAGAGTTGTTGCAAGTCTCCAACTGAACTATTATTTGCGGGAAAATCAAGATCTTCATAAAGTCGTTTTGCTTCTGCCATTTTGGCTGAAATAATTTCATACTGACTAATTTTTGTGTTTCTCATCTCAGTAGGCTATATATAGGATAAAAAAGAATGTTTCCAAATGATTTATTCATCGTGATGCTTACAAATTTTTAGATAGTTTAAATTAAAAGTTGTAAACGTCACAATCTGGAAGCCATATCTCATACCCGTTTATTAACTTAAAATACACCAGTGTATGTTATAACCTGTTTCTATTAAACATTGAAGTATAGTGAGCGAGTAGGTCAGGAAATGTTAACCCAGGTTTCTTTCGATTTACTCGTTATATACCTAATTGTTCCACTCACAGTTTTCAAACAGCCTACTGATACCAAGGTGATATGGATTATTCATGTTTTGTGACCTGGTGTACCATACTGTCTAGGCATATCAAGTGAGTTAAGGTAGATCTAAGATTCATTTTTATTCCGTATATTGGTGATTGATATATATATATATATATATATATATATATATATATATATATATGCGTATGTAATGTATGTGATTGAATCGAACTTCATAATTGTAGTGCAATGCGGCATTATAACTAATGTAACAAGAATAGTTGTTCAGAAACCAAAAGGCCGAATTGAAATAATGGACTACAGACACGTATATACAACATGAAATGGCCTGGAATAAACATTGCTTGATATGCCGTCGAAAGTGTATCAAATTGATGTATGTTGATATTAAGACAACAATAACGTCTAAGTTTATGCCTCCGAAGTGAATATATGTTTTTCTGTAAATAATTTCAGCTAGGTAAACAATCATTTTTAAACGAAATAAATTAATTATAAATAACTTACACTTGCGTAAGTTGTTTCACTTTTCGAACAAGAAGTAAAACCATTTGAACTGTTTGCACAATCGAGAAATATCTGTCTGTACACACGATTAGCCATGGAATCAGCTTTTCCATCAGAATGAGGGATGCATGGTGATGTTAATTTCTCATTCAGCTAAATCATTAGAAAATTAAATGGTAATATCATTTAAAGTTGTGATTTAGATAAACAGCAATTAAGTCAGAAAACCGTTGAAAGTAAATAATTTACTGGCCAATATTAGTACGAGTTGATGATTTTACGTTCTTATTATTCAAAACTGCAGTTGATTAGTTTCAATTGGGATATATACTTCCTGAGAGGATTGCCTTGATTTTAATGTACAGTCATAATAATCTCTTGGTAATTTAAGGATCGTGATTAAATATTCGAAGGCAATTACTAAATTGGATAAACAATCATGTGTGATAACTTTCTCTCCCTGATTTTAAGTTATGGATTTACAAATATTTCATATTTGAAGTCAGAATAGTGTAAACATAGATGTTTTGTTAAAATAAATCAATGTTTTATATATGTTGTTAATGTTTGAATAACTCACCGTTTTCCACGGTGGTCTAGCCTCAATTGACTCATGACTTTAACTATTGAAATTTCTAAATATATTTATTTATTATTTTCCTAATTATCAATGGCTTAAGATAATTTATTTATTTGACTTCAATTATCATCATGTTCTATTTTGATTTTGTTCACGTCAATGAACTTTATGGATTTAATTAAAAATATCAAATTGTTGATCCGATCAATTATTATTTGATCTTGAATCCATTTTTGTGATGCAATCTTTTCTATCCTCCTATAGACATATATTTTCCATATAACCATATATATATATACGAATGTACAGCTTAAGTAAATGATTTCGTCGAAAAGAAAATTTTCTTCGATGAATTCTCTTTTTCATATTCAATGACACTATGGATTATTTTAATTATCCGATCAATTAATTGTTTTCAATTGAACTTACCTTTGCATAACCTTTCGGAGTAATTGACCATGGTATATTTAAATTAAATTGCAGTCTTTTCTCTGTTAATGTTGGTTTAAGTATATCCACTATAAGTTGAAAAACAAAATAGAAAGAACTTGATTACAGATTCATAAAATTTACTATATTTGAATTAGTTGAAATAATCTATTTGAAATAGGGAATAATATGAAAGTTGTAAAAGCTTTATTTAAAATGCATCAAAGTTACTCATTCACACTATCAATTGAGGTTAAATTCAGGAAACCTAAATCATATATAAGTTACATAATAATTTTTTAATTCGATTGTCAGTTTTGTAAATATTAAGTTAACTAATGTGCAATCAACTATTAAAAAAAATAAGGTACCTAATAAGAGTATATCTGTCTAATTATTATCGTGTTTAAACAAATAGTTCATTGATGAAATTGTTATCTATTCAAAATAGTCATGAAATAATAGTGAGAACTTCAGTATTCTCTGATTTAGGTTACGGCGATAAGGATATAAAGCAAAATCGTGCATGGAGGACAGGTTACAGACCAGTTCGAAGTAAAGACCGATGTCAGGCAAGGTTGCTTACTCTCACCTTTTCTCTTTATCCTGGTGATCGACTAGATCATGATGTCAACATATGAAAGGAAACGCGGGATACAGCGGAAATTTAGGATGCAGTTGGACGATCTAGAATTAGCAGGTGATCTGGCCCTTCTATTGCACACTCAACAACAAATGCAGGAAAAGACGACCAGTGTAGCATCAGCCTCAGCAGCAGTAGGTGTCAATATACACGAAGGGAAAAGTAGGATTCTCCAATACAACACAGCATGCACCAATTCAATCACAGTCGACGGAGATTTGGGCAGCATGATTGATGAACACGGTGGATCTGAAGCAGATGTGAAGGCGCGGATCGGTAAAGCTAGAGCAGCATATTTACAACTGAAGGACATCTGGAACTCAAAACAGATGTCAACCAACATCAAGATCAGAATTTTCAATACGAATGTCAAGACAATTGTACTGTATGGGTGGAAACATGGAGAACAAGAAGATACAAGTGTTTATTAACAGTTTTCTAGGCAAAATACTTCGGATCCGTTGGCCAGACACTATCAGCAAAAACCAACTGTGGGAGGGAACAAACCAGATCCCAGCGTAGGAAGAAATCATGAAGAAGTTCTGTAAGTGGATGGGACATACATTGAGGAAAGCACCGAACTGCATCACAAGACAAGCCCTCACACGGAATCTTGTAGACCAAAGGAAAAGAGGAAGACCAAAGAAAAAGAGGAAGACCAAAGAACACATTACGCCTGGAAATGGAGATAGACATGATAAAAATGAACAGGAATCGGATGGAACTAGAAACGAAGGCCCAGGAAAGAGTGGGTTGGAGAATGGTGGTCGGCGGCCTATGCTCCATTGGAAGTAACAGGCGTAAGTAAGATAAGGATATAAAGATGACAGCTTTTATGATTTCATACTTGTAACAAAACAAAAACATTTATCCTTACATTATTGTTTAAAGCATGATTCATTGCAGTAATTAATTATTCTGAATGTTAACTTGCAGTCATAATTTTCAACTATCAGTCTGATGAAAATTAACGTTCAGTACAGTGTTCTGCTTATAAATTGACTTGTTTCACGTTTAGGTGTTTAGCAATTTGGTTTTAGTAGCAGCTGAAATATCTTACTGATGACAACACTAACTGTGACATCATATAGTGTGAAAATTATTAAATACACCGCCTTAATGATGAATTCTACCACTAATAAGACTTAATGAGTTTATAGGTAATAATACCAAGGTTGAACCTGATAGTTTCAAATAAATTGAGCATCAGAGTAGATAGTTAATAATACATATACTTTTTTGTAATATATACAGATGAGTAAAATGTCGTATTTCTGGCGTTTCGTAACTAAATGTAAGTCACACCAGAAACATTATTTTTCTACTCATTTGTATTGAACAAAAAATATATTCATTGATATGACTTGAGTTCAGAGACTATTGTCAATCACTCTGAACAAAAAAATAATACAATATTAACTTAGTGGGTATCAACTTCTGTAGTTGTATATACGCTTTCTTCATATCTTCATTTATTCTATACCGTTAATTGGGGATTATCATATATTTCATTGAGTTAATTTGTTCAAAAGACAAAATATAACAAACATTTTGTTGTACAAAATCTTTAGACATATGTAGAAAAGATTCCACTTACTATAATTCGATGGAACTCCAGTCATCTCAGTTTCTGCCTCACTATTCTGCTTTTTACGTCTCATATGAAACTAAAATATAGGATAATGAATGAAAAATTTAAGTATAGCAAATAATGCCTCATAAGAAGTTTACTTTTGAACATACCATCATATAAGGTTCTATATGACTCAATAGTTAAATAGTGTTACTTCATTAGTGTATGTTAATCATCCGTTATAAAATATATCAGCGTAGCCATATATTTGATTGTGGGCTGATTAACAAATTAACATCAATACTTTTCTTATACAAACGTGTCTCCATGTGTTTTAAAAATATTCTTCTAAAATTTTCACATATAATAACGTAAACATTCATCCACTTTATCGCTTTTTAATACTTTCATACTTGTCGTTGCTATTCTACTAATCATCACTGATATGACATAAAGTATGTACATCGATTATCAACAATTGTTACTTTTTATATGTATATTGGTTGTTTGAATATATCCATCTGATGAGTACCAGATAGGATAAATGCATGTCTTGGATTACATTGATGTTAATTATAGCGTGAAACTACAGATATCCATTTGCATTTAGGTATTTATCCTATAATGAAACTATGATTCGGTCCTTTTTGGTTTGCTCGTGTCTTTCGTATATATTACGCAAATCATCAAACTGCATCGCGAGGCAAGCCCTAACTTGGAATCCTGAATTTAAGCGGAGAAGAGGAAGGCCAAAGAACACATTACGTCGAAAAATTGAATCAGATATGAAAAGGATGATTAACAACTGGAAAGAACTGGAAAGGATTGCCGAGGACAATGTTGGGTGGAGAGTGCTGGTGGGCGGCCTGTGCTCTTCCACGGGTAGTAACAGACGTAAGTAAGTAAATAAGTTTTATATTTCGTGCTGCTATTACATTAGATAATCTTTTATCGGGAAATCTTCGTAAAGTATTTTTTATCACTCTTATAACTTTATCCCATGAACTAAGAGTCATTCTTAACATATATTCGTATAAGCATAAATGTACAGCTATGAAAACCAGTGCGTTTGAGTATTTATTTATTTACCGAAATCATTTATCATGAACATAGCACATATATGACCGATAACTTAAGACTATTTTCACAGTATAATTTAATATGCAACTTGTAAATGGAATATTAAAAAATAGTGATCAGAAAGAATGAATGATAAAACGAATTTCCAATTTTTTTAAATGGACATTTCCCTATGATAACAATAAAATCTTAGAAACCATTTCTTCAATTATCTATATCTTACAATTATTTTTAGGACTGTAATTTGGGTATAAATAACTTATGTTCATTTTAGGATATTGATTCACGCTTATTGATATCAGTTATAAGGGCAAATATTTATTGATGATATCTTTCAAGACAATTAATACTGGGATTTAAAGTTCCTTTTAGATTTAACTAGCTAAAAATGATGATAATTGAGGGCCTAACGTTTATCAATTGCTAAATGCTAATTGTCCTGAAGCACTGATGATAGCTAAGATATAGATACTTAAACAAGTTAAACATTTATTTTATATGGATAAAAATAACAAAATAAGAACTACTTATCTCTTGTCAGGCATATATATTCAAAACTTTTGTCTTTTTGATACATTGAAGGAATAGCTGAAAACTACTAAGAACAAGATCTTTCTACTTTACACTCTTGATAATGTGACAAATATTTTTTAGATTTTCCTGGAGCCAAGTGATCTGAATAATTTCTTACAATAAGGTCATACAATTTTTCATTCTATTGAGCTTTTTTACATCACAATATGGTTGGAAAAATGTAGAGCATTTAAATTCAAACCAAAGATAACATGATAGTGTCCATTTTGAGCCACATCAAGATTACGGGTTAGAAATTACATTGATTTAGTAATGAGAGCTTGTAAATAATTGTAGACGAAGTTGAAATTGATATCTGACTCTTCATGTTTTTTTGTATATTTCACTAACTAACAAATGTGCTCAATCAAAATGGTTTATGAATCAACGCTTTCAAATGTATAGAAAAAGAATTGATCAATGTAGATCACACTTATGTGTATTTTATGCACTTTAACAAAACTCATCATGGGTTTCGTCTTGTCAATAAAATGTGTAATATGTAGATGGGATGATATCTATCATTTTATCGTATTGTCATTTATAACCACATGAATAATGTAAAAAGAATTTACCGTTTTATACTCATAGTACACATGATTTGTTCAAATACAAGAATCTAGTTTACCAAATTATCGATTCATGTCAAAACAAATAGATAATAGGAGTGTCAAAATATTTTAATATACTGTTCTGTAATCGACGAACTCTTATCAAAGATCCGTAAAATGGAATGTCAATAATAAAATTTGTGTTGAAAAGAATCCAATCTGAAGCTGGTTAACATGATAGTAAAGTCCTTAAGACTGATATGAAATGGATTCAAATTATCAAGATAGTATTAACATTATAGTCTATCAACAAGTTCGTTTGTTGAATCGAAAGTACTTGTATTGGACAAATAACGTTTAAAAATATATTTATCATACTTGTGGTAACACCTTAATAATAGTGGTTACACATATTTACAAAACTTTGTTTGTTGTCGAGTCACTTAATCTTTAATTTATTTATTTGTAAAATCAATGAGATATTTGTTAAATAAAAATAGTGGACGGTGGATTAGTTGAAGCTAGACATTAACACCGTCGGATGCCGGCCAGCTCAGTGGTCTAAATGTTAGGCGTTCGCGCGCTAGACTGTTAGATCCTGGATTCGAATCTCGAGGGTGGGATCGTGAATGCTCACTGCTGAGGAGTCCCATACTAGAATGAAACAGCCGTCTAGTGTTTCCAGGTTTTCTATGGTGTTCGGGCCTCAAGTGATTCATGAATTCAATTATCAAGTTATTACAATCTCCACAAAACCACTCTATGAAAATTTACCTTATGGAGTAGCATAATTAAACAAGTTCTTCCATATTTTCACTGATGATTTTCTTTTTAAGGGATGTTAAAAATATTGATTAATATTGTATATCTTTCGATAAAAAACCTAAGAATGAAGCCTTTTTTAACAGCCAGAATTTATCAAAGATATATTCTTAGATCTTTGCTTATTTTGTCCTGAAATATCTGAGAAAGCAACAAATAAAAATATTTTAACTATCTTCCTCAGATAGAAGTTGGTTTGTTCTCTTCCATAGTGTGTTGCTACTGATGATATCGAGTCAACGGACATTCAGTACGTACACAAATGTTTCTAAATACAAATATCTTTTTAATGACGGCTGTAGTAGTTCTCCAAGTTTCAGCTCCATAAAATAGAACCATTTTGAAGTTCGATTTTGGTTGACAGTTGTTTTCAGTTCCATATATTTATCAATGGTAGGAATGCTGTCCTTGCCTTACCGATCCATGACTTCTTATCTGCTTCAGATCCCCAACGTTCATCGATGATAATGCACAAATATGTGAACGTTCCCACCTGCTCAAAAGCTCTATTTCAAGCGTGATTGGATTGGTGTTCACTGCATCGCATTTCAGGATGTTTGTTTTTCCCTCGTGTATATTAAGGCCTACTGATACAGAGGCTTCTCCTACACTGGTTGTCTTGACCTGCAGTTGTTGATGTGTATGGGATAGAAGAGCCCGGCCACTTGTGCCATCCAAATCGCCTAGCCTCTTTCAAACTGTTCATAGTATTTCGTGCATCCCCTTAGATATCAAGGTCTTCATAATCCAGTCGACAAACAGAAGAAAGAGAAAGAGAGAGTAATCAGACTTATCTGATTCTAGTCCTCACTTCATATATGTCTACCAGCTGTCCTTCGTATATGACTTTACAGTGTAATCCGTCGAATGAATCCCGTATGATAGTGGTGATCTTTTCAATTATTCACTCCATAGTGTCGAGTGAGGTTCGGTAAGGTTCTCCTGTTCATATTATCAAACGATTTCTCATGGTCAGTGGAGTTCCTTTCAGTTGGTTGTTGAACGTTCATCCATAGTCTCACCACTGGGAATATCCAAACAACCAATGCAAAAATTAATTCATGTCATCTTTCTGGATCATTAACCTCCATTCAGATATTTCCACCTAACCTTGATTTTTTGTTATGATTGTTATCATGGTTTTATCAATCGATCTTACGTTTTCTGTGTGAGGTGGGGGAAAAGGAAAACCAATATCAAGTGTGACATTCACTTTCTCGAAATTAGATTCAGAACGTCGTTCAAGTTAACAGGAAATGAATTTCAGCGATTTACTTAGATAAGTGAAATGAATAACTTCCACTTCCTTTTTTACTATTACTGAAAGGTGACATCATTAAAATTAATAGAGTTAATTTTTAAAAAAATAAGGGGGTAAATGAAGTTCAATTATTCTGTTCATAATTTGGAATCAATTTTTCTGTGACATTATTTAATAATTTCAATAGTTGAAATCATGAGATAATTGATGTTAGATCACCATGGAAAACTTGGAAGCACTGAACGGCCATTTCGTCCTAGTATGGGGCTCCTCAGCAGTGCGTGTCTACGCGAAACTGATATGTTCTGAGTTCGGATGGCGAGGTCGTGGATACTCAGTGCTATGGAATCCCATACTAGGACGAAACGGCTGTCCAGTGCTACCAAGTTTTCTATGGTGGCCTAGCTTCAATTTACTCATGATTTCAACTATTGAAATTTCTAAAATCTTCACAAAACTCCTGACAATTATTTATTAGTTTATTCGTTCTTCACTTTTACTAATCTTATTATGTCAATGTTTTCTACGGTTGATTATATTATATATATGTATTATATTTTAAATATTTTAATCAAACTTCTGTTATGATAAACGAATTGTGATATTCATTATTACTGAATCGAAGTTTATCGATAGAAAGTGGAAATATGATGAGAAATATACTGGCAATTTGTCTCTAATTTTGTTGTAAAACCACCAGACAACTTGAGAACCTGGAAGCACTAGACAGTTATTTTGGCCTCCTCAGCAGTGCTCACTTGCTACTCCGCATCCAGGAAACTAACTTTAGACATACAACATTTCGCGCAAATGCTTAAACTATATACCACTGAGCAGCAGTCCAAGAATGTACATGTCTAATCATTTCGCGATATTGTTCAACTCTCAATATATCGTCTGTGGTGGACAACTGTCTCGCATCCAGTATGGTTGAACTCCATTGATTACTGCTTCTTACTAGGACTCTAAGAATTACATCTCGAAGCTATTCACTATTGGGAAAATGACCACTATCAGTCAAAGGTTCTGTAGAGATTACAGAATTACCATAATTTTGAAAACCGTTTGTATACCGGCTCAAACGTCTACTAGCCAGACGTTTGCTTACAAGATCGACAGTTCTTAGTCCGATTCCAGAGAGTGAGTGTTTGGATGCACACTAGAGCAAGACGGCTATCCAGTGCTTTAAGGGTTTGAGTGATGGTTCAGTTAAAATCATCTCGGGATTAAAACGTAATTAGAATTATATGATCTCCAAAACACCTTGTATTAAAAATATATTGAAATTCAAGTACCTTATTTATGTTCGAGGGAGAATTGGTAGGAAACTTTGATGATTGAATGCGTATAGAAGAGATAAACTGTTCGAATTAATGCCAACGAGATATCTGTTATAATGTTGTGCATTAA